TTAGACATAAATAGTTTAAACAAAGATCAATAATTATGATGGGAATTCGATATCAAGGAAATACAATATAATTACTTTTGTGCTTTATATACTATTTATTTGATTTAACACGAGTAAATAAGCACTCGCGTATTTTATGTGACTAGGTACTTATATTATTTTGGACTATTATAAAAATTTGATCTAACACGAGTTATTTTATTTATATGTTCATATTCGTATAATATATATTTATTACATATACTTCTTAAACAAAGTTTTATACTTTTTTCGTTTTAATGGACAAACGTATGCAAAGTATGTTTAGGAATATTCAGCGCCCAGGCGTTGTGTGAATTCTGAATAGTCAACGATCGGAATATTTTTTATAAAATGATGGGTAAAAAATATTATTTATAATGGATATTTCTGAACGATTATAGTAGCGTATAACATAATTAAAACTATGGATACGTATACATTATACTTGCCACAGTGTTAATGGATAGGTAATAATAATAACGAACGAGTTAATAACCTATAGACGACTGAAATACAATTGGTTTTGAGATAAAACGTTTTGATAGAAGCGAAGCGTAAATGATATCGTGCGTATTATAATATATCTTTTAGTCATTCGAACGCGATTTAACGTTCGGACTAAAAACGCCGAGGACAGACCGCCAGACACAAAGGCATTATGTAGGCATTAAAATGAAATTACCCTATACTGTATTATTATAAATCTTACGGGGGGGGAAAAAAAAACGTTATAAAACCGGCCGATTACGACGAAATGGCCGGGGAATTATTGTAATGGAAACGAAACGCGCGCATTAAATGCCCGCCGTCGGGACGTCTCTAAATTGGATTGGTGCCAAATTATACTGCTAGAGAGCCATTAAGCGCGTTTGCGGGATGACAAAAGCAAACTATATTGGTTATGGGATGTATCCTGGCAATGGGCTAGAACAGACTTTTAAGCAAGTCGATTTAACTGCGCACTACATCCACCCGCGTCTAGATTCGATTTTTCTCGATTTAACACGAGCGCCCGCGATAGGCGCAAACCATAAACCTATCCATTTTAATCGTTTATACTATTTCGATACGATGCGCATTTGGGAAATCAAGTCGGTGTCTGTTAAACATACCGCAATATTATTTACGTTGTCGACACGGAATAACACGTTTACATACTCGTCACTAGATTGTTTAATGAATGTATTGGTTTTACAATGATATTTATTATTTTTGTATTTTTATGTAAACATTTTTTCTACCACAAGTCCAGAAAGCTTACTCCGATTATCAAATAATATAGCACGTTTTATGAAAGGAAATGTTCACTGGATGGTACCTACTCTAGACAGGTCATTTTTTGAAATTCCCTTTAATATCCGAGATAATGAGGAAAACCTGGTTCTTAGGTTGAAAAAGATTGAAAGATTAAAAATGAGGTTTACATTGGCAACCGTTTTTATTTATTTTTCGTTATTATTAAGTTTTTATTATTTTAATATTTTTTTCAACAACCATTGTTTTCGCGGAAACGCACGTTGTTGTAATCATTTTTTTTTATAATATGACATATTATTTATATACTGTTGACAAAGCAACACTATCAACTGAAATCGGCTCAGAATCGTTTTTTCGGTAGCAATGGTTGATCGTTGCTTACAGATATACATTAAAATCCCGTCTGTACCCTACCTTCCCATCCAACTTCCCATCTACAACAGTGGCTGCACCCGCCCGCTAAGTATGTCCGTCCTTTTTTCTTATATAGTTTTCGAAACGTAATAATTATAAACAACGATCTTTCGAACGTAACGGATTGCAGTATATGCGTTTATTTAAATAAATTATAATAGGTATTGTTAATAAATCCATCGTGTTCGACGATGAGGGGACAATGTCCGAATCGGGAAATGTTGTATTTGCGGAGTGAGCATTTATACTAAAAAGACACCTAACCTTTCGTTAGTAAATCGATAGGACAGTTTTTTTTTTTTTCACAGGATCGCATAATTTACGACCAACTCAAATCGTTTTTAATTGAATTTTTGATTTCATAATGGGCTGGATAATATTTATCACACAAATCTACAAGTACCTACATATGTTTATTTATATTTAAACAGGACTCGGGTCCAATTATTACAAAATAAAACGCAACATTAGAACATAACATAGGGAATAATAAAAAAAAAAAAATATCCATTAAAAATAATAACAAATAACAAATTAAAAAAATAAAAACAAAATGTAAAAGTGAAATTAAATAACAATAATACGATTTATGAAAAAAAAAAAATCAAAATCAATATTGACATAATTATCATTAAGTAATAGATTTTTAAAAAGAGAATTAGCTTTGGTTTTGATAGAAATAATATGAGAGTACCTATACTGTTTATAAAATGCTCTCAAAGCATCGTTACGATTGTGGTACGTAGGTATAAAATATATCACGACGCTATAATGACTGATACTTGATGTCAGTGGCGTAACTATAGGCTCTAGGGGGCCCCGATGATAAGGTAAGTCTGGGGCCTATTCTTGGAAATATTTTTTTTTATTTTCAAAAAAAATTAATATTGAATTGGACTTAAATCGTTAATAGAAAACGGTATGCAACAACTGTAGACATGTTGTGTACGTTTTGTCACCATGACGAAATTATAATAGGGTAATGAAAACAGAAGTTAATGAAATAAAAAAATGTAAAAGAAGACGAACGAATGGACCACAGGAAAGAAGATGATATACACACTGTATGTTCAAATGGACATGGATTATACGATTACGGTGAATCGAGAGACGGGGGATGACGAAAATACTAAGTCAATGTATACATTCAGTTACTCGGTTGTATTTATAATAAATTGATTTTAGCATGTGCTTATATTGTTACGCCTATGATGTTCGCCGATGAACAATTGATTTTTTGGGAGAATTGGTCGTTTCATTTGAAGCACTTCTTTGGCGTTTTATACGATTATTATTTTCATTTTATTTATCTGTTGAATTAATAATTGTAATTATGTTTGAGAATCTTTAATCTTGTAGCAACTATACAAGATTAAATATGCACCTATACAATGTATGTAATAAACAAATAAATTTATTGTAATAATTTCGGTGGGTTTTGTTTGTTAGGACTTGTTTTTGAAATCGATTTGAAAAAAAGTATCAATAAAAAAAATATTGTGTTATTTTTTAGTCTATAAGTTTAAAATTTTTTGTTTGTAAATATAAAATATATAAAATTCGAATATATAAGAATATTATAAACCTAATGTTGAATTCAAACAAATTTTCAATAAAACCATGTTTAATGAAAAGGTAAAATATAAAGGGAAATTAAATTTATTTAAGTTCTAAACGAGTTCTACCGAAGTACATGTATTAAAAAGCCATAATATTTACGATTTGAAAATAATAAATTTCGTTTATTTTCCCATTTATTGTGAAACCCCTAAGAAAATCAAAAAATTACCTTCCGAAAGTACCATCCCGGTCAGATTTGCTTTCAGAAAAATAAACATCACTGTAAAACCAATACATTCCTCGCTCCGCTCAGGATCTAAAATCCGAGTTAATAGCACGGTTGAACTACAAATTGTTCATTTTATTTTGCGGTAAAGAAATATTAGTAGATTGTTCATCATGTGCTGCGATCTATTATCAAATACTAGATTGCACTAAAATAGTCTTCAAATGAAAATTCCCTAATAGATTAAAAGCAAATAGGTACAAGCGTTCACAACAGCTGTTAACACACTTATGTATCTTTACTTCCAAGCACGGTCTTAGATTATTAGGTCTGGCAACTTGGTAATGGAATCCGTGCTCTTAATGACCAGACAGGGAATAATGATGCACACGTTTCACTGTCTAGCGGATTAATGTTTATAATATTTATTTATTAAACGGCGGTACTCTCTTTGCAGCTGTAACATTGTAAAACCAATACATTCAACTCCCACCTAAATCTAAAACGAAAATTGCGCCAAAAATTATGGACTTATAAAAACAAAAGTACCTATATTGTTAAGTAGTTTAACTCAAAAACAATACCTTACCTATACTATTCAAAATATAAGTCGTTATGTTCATTATTTAAAATGTTTACTTATAAAATAAAAACTTAAGTTGTTTTAGACTTCGCTACTTTTAGTCCACGTCCTATAATCGTGCCAAAGACCTAATTAAAAACAAAAAAATATTATACCCATAAATAATATAAATAAATTGTATAATTATGAGATAATTTCTAATCACCTCCACGACTCATTCAAGAATGTTAGAACAATATACAAAAGATCCAATGCAGGCAAAAACATAGGTAGGTACATAAAAGTTAAATGAAAGATATTTTCTCAGCTGCCAATTGAATCATATTATATATGTATGTTTTTATAGGCACATAACATTAGTAAACTGGGTTTTATTTTACCACTAAGTATAATTTATGATGAACCTCATATCAAATGTTTTATATGAACCAATATTTTATAAACAAAACACCAAACAAATTTTTGACAATTTTAAATAGCTATAAATAACTAAAAATTGCAGGATGTTTCGAAAATTTAACCACGTCTAGAAAATGCTAATATAAACATTTGGTATATAGACATTTTCAAACCATACATTTAATTTTCACTAAATTATAATGGAAAACACAAAATTTACAACCAGAAACTATACTTGAAGTTGATGAACGGAGCAACATTTCTCGTAAAAAAGTATTACAAACACAAAAAATTCAGAAATTATATACCAAGTAGATAGATAATTAGGCCATTAGATTTTTCGCTCTTGCGAAATTGCTTTCATAATGTTTCAAAATTGAATTGTCTAAAAAAAAACAATTAGTAAATTCATATTTGAAATGTATAAATATAAAATAATAACGACATTACATTAAAATAAATTAAACATTAAATAATAATAATAAATTAAAACTACATTTGTATGAAATATTACTGTCAATTTTATTACAAATACTACTTGGTGGATGTTTTGAATATATATTATTTCTGTAACGTAATGTACAATAATTGATTTCAGTGATATTGTCTACAATTCTTTCAATATAATAAAACATTTAAAATAAATTATCAAAAAAATGTTTCACTTCATCCATGATTTTTTTAATCTTAAGTTCTGAAAAATTACTGTAAAATTCTATACAAAATACTTCTCTTAACATCTAATTATTTTTATAGTATTATTGATTAGTTAAACTTAAATTGAATTTTTAAAACTCTACAATTAATAACTGTATATATAAATCCATACAAATTTAATAGACTTATAGTAAAACTATTTTACTAAATACAGTGAAGTCATATCTTAAACATGTAATTTAAAGAATAAGATTTTATAGTAAGTACAGAGATAGATAGAAAGATAGAGAATTATAGTAAAAAAATTAAGCTTCCGAGTGGACTGTAAGCACTAGAAAAAAAAAACTGTAAAAGAAACTTTAAAATGAACACACTTTATTAATTTTTATTTCTATATAAAACAAAATTATTAAAATTACAAATTTAAAAAAAAAAAAATATATATTGTTTATCAGAAATACCAACAAAACTGATTAATAGGAAAATCCTACAGTAAATCTTTAATAAATAAATGATACACTAAAAATAAATGTATTCATTCTCATGTTTTACTTTTAGTTACATTAATTACCAGTGTATCGTTCAAAGTACACTATTAATTCACAATGTGGTGTTTGAGGAAACATATCAACAGGAATAGCTTTTACCGGTACAAATGGAGCACCTTGTTTAGTTTTAGATTTGGCCATAGACAAAGATATGAAATTTTGCAATGCTGCTTTTGGATTGCAAGACAAATATACTAATCGATTTAAATGTTTCATACTTCGTAAAAGCAATATTGCTTTGTTATCTGAAACCCATTGTATTATATATGAATAATAATCAAATATTTTATTATTACTACAAGCATTGATAATATAATATATAAATAACCTATGCTTTAATACTATTTGGCGACCACCTAAAAATATTGTTTCTATGGGGCGCTAGAGTAGTTGGAAAGCAAAAATGATAGTACCCCTATCGTAGATAAGCAACAGCAACACACCTCGCCTATCTATGACCTACCTTAGGAGTAGGTATCATTATCTACTCCTAAAGTTGTCTACACACGGAGTTATTCATTAGAAACTAATTACTGACATAAACCACTAACCAGTATGCTTTAAGGCACAACGTATGTTATTCAATGGAACACAACATACGACTCTACTGGTTACTAATTAGTTAATAGAACAAACAGAACAAACTAGTGATTTCGATCACTTTTCAGTAAGCTCAAGTGTGGATCTCAGTCACCAATGCGTTATTAATCGTTAAGTAATTTAAATCACGAACCAGTTTAGTTTTTTTTGAGTTGCTCAGTGTAGAGGATCTAACTATTATAACACTACATGGTCGCCAAATATTACTATTGCACGAGCTAAGTGTATATTTTATATTCAATGCTCAAGAGTCACAAATTTGATATTGTACTTACGTAGTCCTGCTCTGGGAGGATCAACAATGGCAACTACATCATCAGCAATATCTGGATTTTGAAACTCTGATAAAGTCATTATTTCTTCGGCTTTACCAGCAAAAAACTTTGCATTTTTTATTTGATTTTCCATAGTGTTTATGTTTGCCATTTTTATCGCATCTTCTTGAATATCTACACCAACTACTTGAGCACATTCCTTAAAAATAAAAAAATACAATGGTCAGATAGTTAAAAACACTAAAGACGACTATATTTAAATTAAATTAAATTACTTTAGCCATAGATAAACCTATTATGCCAGAACCACAACATATATCTAAAACAGTAGTTTTTTTATTAATGGAAGCTAAATCTTTTGCAGTGCTAAACAATAGTTCAGAAGCAGCTGTATTTATTTGGAAAAATGATTCGGGTGAAATTCGAACTTGGAGACCGTTCACTTCTTCAATAATATATTCTTTTCCATATAATAATTCCAATGGAAATGAATTTCCTTCACCAACACTAAAAATCAATTGATTGAGTTACATTTTTATTTATCATAATAATTACAATTAAATAATAAAATAATAAAATAAAAACAAAATTATTAAATGTTTAACTCGTAAATAAATAGTGAAATAAAATAAAATAAAAATTAATATAAATTATTTCTATGTAAAACTACCAATTTGTATAATTTTTTCTCTATGTATTCTATTTATTTTTTTTATATTCAGTCATGTTTTACTTTTTGACTTTAAAATTTTACCTGACAATGAATTTTTAATTCAAAAATGGGGGTAAAATACACATATCATAATACTCTAGAAGACGCATTTATTTATTTATTTTTATATATTTAATTAAAATTATTTTTAATTTAAGATAATATTAATTATATGGCATATTTTTAATTTAAGATATGCTATATAGTAAATTACACCATTTATCAGTTTAAAACTGAAAGAGTTCAATGCAGTTCAGACTGCTGCTAAAAGGAAATACATGCATAATACTATATATTTATAAGAAAAGTCATTAATATTTTAAGCTAAAAAAAGTATATCAAGAAGCAATTTATAACCTACGATTCTTTTGTGACTTTAAATACCAAAAACCAAATCAATTATGCTTTTAATTCTTACGCTTTTTTTTTGGCCTTTTGAAAGAATAAGGAATGCACTTTACAATCAGATCCAGCACCATCAACAAAATAATCAAGAATTAATTTTTTTAAAGATGTCAAAGATGTGTCGGACATATTTTCTGTGTGTACTACACAGATCAACATAAGCTGTTCAGTTTTTAGACTTAATCGTACTGTCAATTGGCGCCAATGACCTTTATATGTTTCTGGATCAAATACAGGAATTTTAGATGACCTGACTAAATCCTGGAAACGCTAAAATAACATATAGTACAGTAATGAATAATAAATATTATAAACTTATATACATAATAATATTCACCAACATTGTGATTTTTATATAATATCTTACATTAACTACATTTTTCATACGCTGAGGAACATTTGAAATTTTATCAATAGATGCTACACTAGTTTTTCCTTGAACATAAGAACCAACGCGAAAACCAACTACTGGCTCTTTATTTTCAGTGTCCATACCTGAAAAATTATAAAATTACAAAATAAGATTATGCTTACAGGAAAATTACTTGTGGCATTTTTTCAAAATTTCAATACATCCAAAATTGGGGATAATTATTGAAAAATAATTGAATATAGATGAGTATTATTATTGTACATGTACAAAAATGAGTACTTTTATGTTTGTGTATTAATGGTCAAAATAAAATATTAATAATTCAAATCTTACGAGTATAATATGTGTTAATGAAATTCTATTCACAGTTATTATTTGTAGTTTAAACAAATAAAACATTAAAAATTATCAAATTAAATATCTTTTTTTTAAATAATACTTAAATATACAATTTTAATATTGTTTTTACTCAAATAATATTCTAATAATATATCAGTTATATTACCTATAGTAAATTCACACTTATTTCTGTAACCAACACATTTTTCAATATCGTCTTTTAAACTTTTTATTTCTAAAAGTTCACAAGGGAGACCATCATATGTATCCTGTTGTTTTTTTAACCATTCAACTAGATTTAGACTGTTATTAGTTCGTTTCAATTGCTTACCATAATCCAAAAGTACTTTCTTTACAAAGTTAGTTTTTTGGATTAACTGAAACCAATACAACAAATATATTAAGTATATAGATTTGTAATGTAAATATATCAAATTGAATTTAATCCAAATATGAGTCTAAGAATACTAGAACATAATGGATTGAAGAAGTATTAACTATATTGAATATTATTATAAATAACTTTAAAATTATTTTAACATATTTTTTTAAGGGGAATAGTCTTGGGGACAAAAACATTTATTAAAGTATTAAAATAATTAAAGATTCTAATAATAATTTTAATTGCATTTAGTTATACATAATTATAAAATATAAAAAATACTGACATACTTCACGTTATGGTTGGGCCACTTTTGTAGGTGAGAAGTTGGAAAGGTTGAATATAAAGGAGAATTTAATGCATATCTGTATGGAACAATTAACCATTGATAATAAAATACGATTCTGAGCAAAGTTTGGTTATATATGTTTTGGAAGGCCATAATATTTACAACTTTCATCAAAATTTGATATTAGAATTCTACATTATACTCAATTTGTTTTAACTGAATTACAACAAACAAATAAAATTAAAAATAATACAATTGTAAAATTTTGCTGTTTTTTCCCAATTATTATGAAAACCATTTGGAATATCAAAAAATTACCTTTCAGGAAAAACTAGTGCAAAAAAGTTATTTATAAAGAAAAAAAAAATTATTGTATAGCTCATTAATTTGATTCCAGATTTATAATTTCTTCGAATCCTAAAAATATAATAATTTAAAAAAATTGAGATACTTAATACTATATTTTCTAAAAGCTTTTGTGAAAAATGCTACTTAATATATATTGTCTTAACTTTAAAATATACACATGCATACAAAAATAAATATTTATGAAATATGTGCATTTAAACAACTAATATGGAACTACTGACATATATGTAACACAAAGTTTAAAAAATTGATTATTTACTAATTTAGATAGGTAGAGAATATTCAGTAAATGCAACAATTCTTTTGATCTGGCATATACATTTTTCCTTCATATAAAAAGAAAAAAGAAATTTCAAATAGGGCCAGAATATTTTGAAAATAACACCATGTCTAAAAAGTGCTTGCATATTAGGTAATACAAAATATTATGATATATCAATTTATTGTTAAAATCGATTTACACGGAAATAGATGTAAACTTTCTATTTTATACAAATTATAACTTTCTTATAAAAAATGAATATTAATTTTAAGTGGATTGATTAAGGTTAATTCATACAGATTGGGGTAAATACATTTTGAAACAAGCAATGCTGTATCTCAGTTAATCAAAAACATTTTTTTTTTTTTTTTTAGATTCTTAGTACCTATTATGAAATGTGGACAAATTTTTGACAACTCTCATAGTTGTGCATACATCCAACAAAAATATGTTCACATACAAGTCTGAACTTTAATTAAAATTAATAGAAATTAATAGATAGATAATGGTAAATAATAAACTTACTATGCATGATACATAATATAAAAACATTTCTTACTTGTTTTTCATAAGGTATATCAAATAATGGAGTGACAGCACTTATCATCTGCTGTTCTGCACCAATATTATCCAACTTTTTTCTCTTTTGGTCTGAATAGTTGTCAAATTGTTCATTACGTTTTTGTACCATTGGATCAGGCACAGCTTTGGCGTTCTAGTTAAGTTTCAATAAAATATAAAAACAAATTATTAAAATTATAACAAAAACATGAACTAACATGGACTAAACACTTACACTGGCCTCTAAAACTGTATTCTTCCAATTATATCCATTTAAAACACCTAAAGCTACATCTTTATCTTCTTCCGAACGAAAACATACATACAACCATTTGCCATTACGATTAGGCGTTTTGACTTTAGAACATTTTAATTTTAATTTTTGATTGACTAATTTCTTGAACTCCTGAAAAATGTGCAAGTATCTATTAGGTACTTTATTTTTGTTAACTAATTTAAATAGTGGACTATTAAACACAAAATTTTTTTTTAACTTACAGCAATTCCATAATATTTGGGAAGGTTTCTCACTTCTACCTTGTACTTTTCAGAAGTGAAATCATTCCGATCTAAATAAGCAAAAGGATCTTCTTTTACCACAGGTTCTACTTTATCTTTTTTATCTGCATTTTCCATAGGTTCTACTTTATCTTTTTTATCTGCATTTTCCATAGGTTCTACTTTATCTTTTTTATCTGCATTTTCGATTTCAATTTCTTTAGTCACAGTGCCTACTTGACTTTCTTTTTCCGTTTGATCGTTTGAATTGTTTTCCATGGTACTTACTTCCATTATATAAGAAGTAATACTTTATTATAAACTCAGCAAATATATTATTTTCAGATACGAATTTGAAATAAAAATAAGGTTACATAAATAAAATTGAAAATATTAATAATCATAGACCGGTTGATTGTTCCAATTTGTATTATTGGTATTATGACAATATTATGATGTAGTAAGTTTATAACCAAACTTTTTTACGATATTTGTTTGAAATCGTTATCAAATATCATTATGGATGATAAGAGTTCACGTGTTTTGATATCAAAAAATTGATTGTGTTTTCATTCTTTAGCTAATAGGTACTCATTTTTTATTTTTTACCTGTTCCAATTTGTCAAATAAAATATAAAATTATGCCGCAAGGAAAATTCAAAAATAAATCTCAAATTTCATTTACCAAGAAAAAAAAACAACAACCAAATAAAAGTAGAAAAGGTAACTACCTAATTCAATAACTATTGAACTATTTGATTAGTAGACATTATGAAATTATATGCATTCTAAATATTGATCTGATATTCTTAATACTTATTGTATGATTAATTTAAATGTACTTATGTACTTTTTTGTATAGCATGTCCAATGCCTTCTAATAAACACAAATATGAAGAAGGGCAACGAATTAAACGCATGATTAGCAAAAATGTAAATAAATTGGCTGAAGATGAATTAAGAGCATTGGCTACAGATGGCAAGAAAGTATTTTTATCTAAGAAAAAGAAACAAGTTGCACAAATAGTACAAGAACCAGAAAACAAACCTAAACAAATTAAGATTACACCAAAATAAATACTATTATAGGTATTAGGTACCTATAATATCTTTATATGATTAATGAATTGTATATAATATAATTTGTTATGAAAAAATAATTAATTATCAAATTTTATTTTATAGTATTTATCAATTTGTCTTATTTCTTAAAAAGTAAAATTCCAATATTATAATACAATCACTAATCATAACTTGCACAATTTTTTAATTTAATTGTAAAATATACTAAAATTACAGTACCTTCATATATATTTTGTTTTTAGTTATTTTATAAACAAAATTATTTTCATATAATTAAATTATTATCACAGTTATATTTATAATTTACCTATAAATTTGATTAATTTTTGGAACTATTAATAAGAATATAAGATACTAAAGTACCATTGCTTTTAAATAGTGTATACATTTGTGTATAGTACCTATTTGTTTTTAATCAATACTATTGATATTATCTACTATTAGTATATCTGAAATTGTGGTATAAGTACAGAGATTTAAATAAGTATATTTATTTTATTAATAATATAAACAATGTCAATTTGATATATTAGCTAATCTATCAAAAATGCTTAAATCATACTTATTAAAACTACTACAAGTAAAATTAAAAATTACTTCTCTAATGCACCAATTAAATCAAATACTTCAAGAAAGTTCTTATACACTATTTGACTGCAACAAGATTTTTAGAAGAAAAGTTATAAAACAAATAAAAATTAACTTAGTTTTTGCTAGATGATATATATATTATTATAAGTACTTACTTAATTTAAGTCAATTTTACTATAAGTGTTTTACCCATCTCTAAAATCACTTCGAAATGTATTTTTCCTTGTACTTTGTTTTATTATTTTGCATGAACATGTTATTGAAAATTTTTTTTTTGTAATTACATTACCTACATAATAAAAGTAAGTACCTACTTGTTATGAATTATAATAATGATACAAGTCTATATATGTGCATGTTTATTTTAAAATTAATTAAAGTATATTTTTCATACATAAAATCACTAAACATGAACTTGATATATATTTACTGTACACATTATACAGTTAATATTGCTGATGGGTATGCCACTGTTAGAAGAGAGGATATATTATAGAGTAATTTAATTTATATCTGTACACGACCAAAAATGATTCTGAGCAAAATATTATTAGTCTTAATTTTTTCCCTTAATGTGGGTTCAGTTAAATTGTGCAAACAGACTATATGAACTCAAATTAGAGCAAACTAACTACATGTACATGAAAATCTGTTCAAAATTTTGTACTGTGTGAAGCCGGGAAAAAAACTGCAGTTATAGTAGTTAGAGTTTACCAATGTGTATAAACGGATAATATTATGCATTTTGGATAAAATAATAATTTAAAAAAAATTAAAATAATTATAATTTAAATTGATATAATATTCAATTAATATTATGTACCTACTACCTGTAATGAAGTAGTTACTATGAAATGTTGTGTATCTCTGGTGGATCAGCCATCAGGTGTATTAGTGATAGATAAATACCAAATGGACATTACCAGATTTTAAATTAGACATCTTGTAGAGTAGGTACAAAACATTTAGTTACTACATTAAAAACTGAACAAAAATTTGTGTGAATAACTGAATGTCCAAACCCAAATAATTTACTCAGTTCATTTGTATAAAAACACCTCAATTTGGTTGAAAAACAGTTTAAATAGGATTGCCATACGTCCTGGAAAAACGAGACTGTCACCTATTTTTAACTTGTACCATTTTCCCAAAAATAAATGTCGGTACTTCAATATGTCCTGGTTTTCAGAAAAAATTAATATTATTAATTTCAATATTTTCTTTGAATAATAATTGTAATTGAGAAATAAGGATAAGATTTTTAACGAATACGGGATAAAACTACAGATATACAGATAAGGTAACTCTTTTATATATCTGTGGATAAAACCATAAATACCAATTATCCAAATTAGTTATTACTTGTATGTTTTATAACAATCGTTTTAATGATTAAAAAAAAATAAAAATACAATTATTGTTGTATCGTTTTAGTTTATAAGATAATAAGTCGTTTTTTTTTTTCAAATACATATAAATTATATATGTATCTTATAAAATTCAATTATATTTCTAGTCTAATTTTATTTGCTATTTTTTTTATTTGTCTTGGATTCGCTTTATAAAATTATGGCAACTTTAAGTTTAACTGAATCTTTAAACAAACCTTTATCCCCAAAATAACCCAACAATTATGCAAACAATTGGAAAATTTTAAAAACTAGTTCAAAAATGCTAAAAGAAAGTTCTTATAAAGAATTAGATTAAAGCAAGGTTTCTGGTAGAAAAGTTATTTACAGACAAGAACAAAAAAGCACACATAAAAACCAATATAATCATTGTTTCGTTCAAAATCTAAAATAAACATAATATACAAAATATAAACTAACTGTAATAATTGTATCTAATATAATAATTCCTCATATTCTAAAATACTATCATTACAGGTATCTAGGATACTGTAAATATATTTTATTAACAATTTTAAATTCTTAATTAATACCAATATAATGAACGAGAATAAAATTATTTACATAACTTGACAATGTTTATGATAAAACTACATATAATACCAGTTGGGTGATAGGTATAATTTTTTAGCCACAAACGATCAAATTCTTGTTTTTACCTTTGGTAATACTGGGTGTAGAGTTGTCTTTCAATTCTATCACTCCACTTTTGGAACCTTTTATTTCATGTAATAACCTAAAAACAACAGATGAATAGTAATATTATTTTTTGTGAGTCCTTATAGTATTTATATATTTATATTAGATGATTATCTAATATAAGATCCTAATAATATTGGTAAATTTCCCATAGATTTTGTAAGAATAGGTGCTTCCCAATTTTTAAGTGACTTTTTAAAATATATCATATTCTTAGATACCTATGTTTAATATTTATTACATTTTTGGATTTTTAAATAGCATAGGTAAAACCAATTTTATATTTTTTAGTTTTATTTAGGTATTCAGACTTAATGTATATATTATAGAATGATGGGAATGATTTACAAGTAAATACATTAACATATTCATTTAAAATACTTAGAGACAAATATAAATGATAAAATAGTTACATAAAAAATAAAGAAAAAATAGTAATCATGAACAGTTGTTATGTGCTCCATACATATGTTTTATTGTTTCTAAACCTACATTCTTTGATGTTAATAATTTATTCTTTGGTATAAATGCCTTCTTTGCTTGACCTATACTGCTTCTTATTTCTTTTTCCACTTGTTCTATTTTGTTTCCTTTATATATTAATGGTTGGTTTAGTTTGTCTTAAGATTATAGCGATAGGATTATATGACTCCCTAAGCTAGTGGTTTAATTTAAATAGATAATTTTAATTAGATAGTGAGTAACATGTGAATACTTTCCCAGATAACGAAAAATTAGATGTTTTGAATGTTAATATACATTTATATTAAAATAGTATCTATTTAAATGTTAACAATATAATTATATCCAAAGGCATATTAAATTAGGTACCTACAGTAAAGTGTAACATGAAGATCTGACAGCTGCTATAACTTTTATTCTGTTCAATATTTTTAAGTTTTTAGTTCATGCAATAGGTACCTAAGTTCAAGAGTCATTCATTATGATTCCTCTATTTATTATTTAATTTTAAATTTGTTCAAAAATTGTTCTTACAAAATCAAATATAGCATTTTAATAAATATTCATTGAAATAAAATTTTCATGTTGTAAATATTTACTAATGATAAATCGTTAAGGTTCTAATGCTCTACAATTTTTTGAAGTTTACAAAAATGATTATCAAGATTTTTTTTTATAGAAAAATTAGTAAATCAATTGATATTATTAAGTAGTAATGAAAACAATTTAAATTATTGTAAAATTCAAAAAAATTATATTAAATAATTAAATACCTAACTACTTACTTATTCATTATTAGTAAATATTTGTAACACCAAAATGTTATATCAAAATGTATTTACTAAACGGTTATCTTGAATTTTATAAAAACATTTTTAATTTTAATTTTTAAAAAAAACATATTTAATAAAGAAATCATAGCACAAGGCTCCAGTTCTACTAATATTATTCAAAGAATAATAACATAAAAATATTTAACAGAACAAAAGTTGGGTACTTCAGGTTTCATATTTTCGTGTTGCAGCCAGTATAGTAAGCAGGTATACACTTACTTTTGATTAACGCTCAGTGTATTTATATTTAACAGTTTGCTGTTTTTCGATATGTTAATAAATTTTGTAACAAATTCTATTAAAAACGGGATTTCCAATATCAAATCGCCCTGTAAAGAAATTAGATATATATTATTGTTTATTAACCTAAATTTATATTATAACATTATTTGTTTTTTTTCTTTCGAGTATCTATCAGTCATAAATGAATGCACACAAATATTGCAGAATACATGATATTATTACATTATTACATAATATATTATAAATTGCGTAATTTAGTTTAAATAGACGTAGCGTATAAATTATATAATGTACTTTGTTGTGTTTGAATTGCGGAGAAATTCTGATGAGTAAAAAGTTATCTTTTCCAGCAGTGACTTCTAATTTTTTAATAAAATCCAGCGGTATCTTTTCCTTGGGCTTTAATTTGTTTTTGTGTATCTGTTTCAAGAACAACGTTTTATTTGTCAATATTAAAAGTCTGGTTCTTCGTTTGTATCCTTTCCGGTCGAATTTCACCACTTTGACGCCGTACTATAATAATAATAAAAAAAAAAAATAGGTATCGACTTGCAACAACATAATTTTCATTTTTCGTTCTCGTCAGTGTTCGCCGTTTCATATTGTATTATACGTTTATTTTCACAGTGATAATTATAATAAAATATAATAATTCTTACGACATATTTTTCATTTATAGTGCGCATGAACGATATTTTCAGATACTTCTCTACAGAATTCAGTCGTTCGTTTGAAAATAAACAACGTGTAATGCATTCATAATTACTTTTTTTATCTGAAATTTATAATAGAATTATTTAACTTCATTTGAATCGCCGAAGAATTTTTTTCAAAATAATATACCGGTTGATTATTTTATCATGATCCATTACCATACGATTAATTTTTATTGCACTTTCCTCCTCCGGTTTAAAATTCTCTTCTCATGAACGATGTATTCAATATCAGTGTTATGTATTTTTTTTTTCACGAAACCGTGCTTAAGGTTGTAGGTGGAAGGGATTTACATTTGAAAATGATTTGTTGGTATTTATTACCTACTCATTGGATGTATTCACGTATGGCGTATGGATGAAAATTTGAAAACAGTGTTAAAATAAAAATTAAAAAAAAAACCACACGAATCAAATTTAGGTACTTAAAACCGCTGGATCATCATAAAATAACCGTCCTGTATACAATTCTATAATGATTTTGGTACCTTTAAAAAGATATTCGGCGAGCATTTTTAATTCTAATTGTTTTTTACGTTTCAAATTCTGCGAAATATCGTATCTTTTATTTTTCCAAATGGTATGGATCGTTTTCAGTTTTTTTGAAGCCTTAAAAAAGTATACTGTAATTAATAGGAACTAATAGCTAATTAAAACGACACTACATTAATTTTAAGAACCGTTAACTTTGACTTTATTTATTTATTTGGAGGAACAAGATGCCTATTTTAACCAATTACCTAGGTACTTATAAATAATATTTTTTTTAGTTTTTACTGGATTTAGGTGAATTCAAATAAATTATATGCCCTGTATACGATTATTTTAAATGAAATAACTTATTCAAACAATAATAATATAAAATACCACCCAAGGAAAATTTTCTTTCAGGAAAGGTGCTACGTTTGAAAATCGGAGCAAGAATTTTCGTACACAATATAGAGAAAAAAAAAGCATCATTGTGAAACCAATACATTCATCGCTTCGCTCAGAATCTAAAAGTACAAGGAATATGGTACCGACCGCAATATTATTATATAGGTACTTTGCAAAATAATCTCATGGTGCATTAATACTATAGTACAAAGTTTACATCTCCATTCGCAATGTCTAGTCCCCTGCCTATCACTGAAAATCCTGGGTACGCCACTGCACAGATGTTAAGCGCGTTTGCGATTTTTAAATGTTGTTTTGTAGAAAGTATCATTACGAAAACGACTCTACACTTTTATTATTATTTAGTGTTTATTGTAAAAACAAAAACAATAATCGTATGAGGATTACTCACTTCGATAAATAATTTCGTGTGCCATCCCTTATTCAAAACCCGTACGTTTGCGGGTAATGACATCGTTGTAAACGTTCGTAAAATGTACCGACGGGTATGTATAATGAACGTACGCTTGACAGAAAGGTGTTCGTTAGCCATATTAATAAGAGTTTTAAATATAAATTGATTTAATAATTACATTTGAAAAACATAAAAATAATCCTCGCTCTAAAAAATGTACCTGACTACAAAAAAAAAAAAAACACCATACAATTACAATAATTACAATAACTTGTGTCTATATATATAAACCTTTATAGGCGAGTATATAAATAACAAAAAAAATCAAACATCCGTACGTATAACATACATCACGTCACACGGTTTAACTTTAAGTAGCCCTTTCGTATAATAATATTCATTGACTGTGTTGTGCACACAAAATTATTAATATGCCCTCTCCAAACGATTTGACCTCAGTCGAATCTACGTACACATTTTGAAATATTTTAATCGAAATGTATGAAAAGATATAATTTATAGCCCACACGCAAACAAAACAATAATCTGAATTAGTCCAATTTAAAACGCATTATATTTTGTTTAATTTTATAATAGAAATTTATATCCATCTATACAATTCAATTAGGTAGGCGAATGCTTTATTTTTTAGATTCTGAACGTAGCGAGTAATTTATTCGTTTTACTATGATGTAACAATATTGGAATGATAGTTCTAGGACTGTTACACAGGGCCGTATGGTGGTTCGGGGGGGGAGGGGGCAATAGCCCTCCGGTATATGTTAGGGGGTACTAATTTTTCACGACGAGTATGACAAAGTTTCCGGAAAAATTATAAATTATATGAATAATTCATATATTTTATGTACGCAGTGATCAGTCTATCAGTATAGTATCAGTACAAGCAGGACTTTTGAACAATAAGATTGCATCGATTTTTATAAAAAAAAAAAAACCAATCTTCATGTCATTAGAAAGAATCTGATGATGAGTTTAATAAGATGGCACGGTATACATTAAGCTTGGCCAGTTTGAATAATAGATCATCATGCCACACTTTAGCCAAGATTTTTTTTTTTCGTGTCTTAACGGCCGCGTGTGATATTTGTTGTGTTTGCTTTCACTATCACTTTCACTAATTGTGATAGAGTCCCTTTCCTTCTTTATCTAAAAATTTGCATGATCACGAGATAGGTAAAAATACAAGGTATTTTTTTTTTTTTTTATTGAAAAACGGTATAACGATGACTTGTTACGTTTAATTTTCTCCAATGACTTTTTTTTTCAGATTAGATACATGTGTATACGCATAGTAATCGTCATGCTTATGCACATTTTACTGCCTGTACGAGTATGTACGGTAACTACTTACGAATTACGATTCCAAACACGAATAATAATTATTTATAGCTTCGCCTCGCCGTGGGCATGTGCAATATTCAACCGATGTAAAACGCGCATCCGGATGCAACGATTCCGCTGGCCATCTAGTTCGGTATTTATTTTATTTATTTAATATTATTTATTAATATTTATTGTCGTATTATATTACGAACGTTTACGATTTCGGAAAGTCCGGACCTACACAAGCCGGTGGTCCGGTCGAAGTATCTGTGCGTACCTGTTACAGTGTCAACGGGTAGCTGTCTGTACCTATACCTACCTATACCGTTACGGTATAGGGACGTTCCGATACCACCGATACAAGTAGAGTATCGATACTTTTTTTTCTTTCGATACAAGTAGTGTTTGTGTCGATACCATGGTTTCGATACTTTACTCATATCGATAAAAAAAAAGTACTGGTATCGAATCATTCATACAATCTAACCGCCATCGGTTTAAAAAATACTCGGACGGGATCGAACAATTGTTTTCGTTCATTCTTTGTCTAGTGCCGAGTGCGACCACTCATCTACTATTACGTACTGTTCCAATAATTTCATATTTACGATGCCGCCTCCGATGGGTAAGCGCTCGATGTATTTTAGAAAAGTGGACAAATTAATCGCACAATGCAAAATTTGCTCTCAAAGTGTAAAATATTGTGGAAACAGTTTCTCGCTTAAACAGATTATTGCTCTTGGCAGATCTAACCCGAAGATCAATGGTTTCGAGTTATAAATAATTTTTGAATAATAATAAAATATTATTAAATAATTTGTATTTTGTATTGTATTAAAATATTTATTTTTTTTTCGATACCTATTTGTTAATTGGAATTACCCATAATAAACATGAGTTTTGTTTGTATTAAATGATTTTTTTTTTTTTTATTACAATTTATAATACATTTAACAGAGTATAATCAGAGGTGTGTTCAACACTACATCCAAGAATCAGCTGTCCCTGGCGGAAAAATTTAAAAATTCTTTATAGACAGCATTCGTATCTGTGCTTCATAACTACTTTCAGTTAAACGTTAGAAAAATGTCATTTTCTAAAATAAACCAAGATTTTGAATTCTTTCTTAACTTGGAAAGGGAAAGTATTAAAATATAAACCAAATTTTCAATCAATACTTGTCGGTCCTTTTGTTTCGATATTTTACTCATATCGGTATTTTAATTCGATTCGATACCAAGTATAAGTATCGATATTATTCTTTCGATATCACGTCCCTACAGACTGTTGCAGCAGATGTCCGTTCGACGGCGGCCGGCAGGGGCGGCAAAGACGGAACTCGCGTTATCAGCGTCGTTATCTACGAACAAGTGACCGGGGGCAAAAACGAAATTCGCCGGCGGACACGTTCGCCCCGGGCTCCGGCGGAATATTGTTACGACCGGACTGCGTTCATTAGAATGTATTTTCATATTTTTATTTGTTGCGCAACGGTTTCCATCCGTTCGGTTTCTCGCTCCGAACGTTTCTCGCCAGCATCGAATACGCGACGTGCCTAGTACCCATCTAATAGTAGTACCACGTCACTGGCGCCGTCAATACTTACTCCGAGTAATTTTCGTCGCCAATACTCTAGATACTCGTTCTAACGATTTCATAGACATCATTCGTTTTTTTCTCGAAGAGACCGTTTTGTTTTTACAAATCCATAATGACCGAGTGGGTCGAGAACGCAGTCAAACTGAAATCCAACATAGAGCTATACCCGAATCCAGGAACCAAAGTGTTTCAATACGGCACGTCAGGCATTCGTTACAAGTGAGTGCATAAATAAATAATATATATATATATTATAAATGAACCCTTGTCAATAAAGGTCCTCTCGGGTTATGGTACTGGAAAATCGTTACTAATAGACACTCTTATGGTTTTTTAGTTATGAACATTTGGATCACGTCATGCATCGTATGGGCATGTTGGTAGCTTTACGGTCAATGTATTTAAAATCTGCGGCAGTCGGCCTCATGATAACTGCTTCGCACAACCCACAAGATGATAACGGAGTCAAACTCATAGATCCCCATGGAGAAATGTTAGACAGCTCGTGGGAAGGGCTAGCCACCGAATTGTCAAACGCTTCAAATGTTCATGATTTATGTTCGATGTTTGTGAATATTGTTACAAAATATAATATCAGTCCGTTGTACACACCTCGAGTGTTTATTGGTCGTGATACTAGGTAAATGAATATCATTTTTATTAAATTTTTATGTCTGGATAAATAAAATTAAAAAATTAATAGAACCATTTTGTTTTAGACATTCATGTAAACAATTATTAAATGCCGTACTCAGTGGTATAAAAGCTTTTAAAAGTAATTTTGATGATTTCGGTATAATAACAACACCGATGTTGCATTTTTTTGTTAGATGTCATAATACCAATGGTTTGTATGGTCAACCAAATGAACAATCTTACTTTACTAAATTAACAAATGGTTTCAAAATAATGCGTAAAATGGTAAGTTCATTTGTTTACATACCTACACACATATTTGATGAAAATTTGTTTATAATAATTAGTATTTTTCTCCTTTAGTGTTTGAATTTTAAAAACTATAGTCCCATAATTGAATTTGATGGTGCAAATGGGGTAGGCGCTTTAAAGATGAAAGATGCAATTAAATATTTAGATAATACATTGGTAATCAATATGAATAATGATGATACGACTAACACAGAAAAATTGAATTTTAAAGTATAAACACAATTTTTGTTTCAAGTTTAGAATATTTATTTATTCAAACTTGTGAACTTTTAAATTTTTAAGTGTGGTGCAGACTATGTGAAATCAAACCAATGTCCTCCTACTGGATTGGCCATTAAACCATCTGCCAAGTATTTGTCTGTAGATGGAGATGCAGATAGGATTGTTTATTCTTTCATCGACGAAAATAATAAGTTTTTTCTATTAGATGGTGACCGAATTGCTACTCTTGGTATGTTATATAAAATTATATTAGTTCGCTTAATCTGTCATATTATTGTATTATTATAGTGGCTGGTTACATGAAAGATTTATTCACTGTTTCCGGTCTCAATGTCAATGTAGGTTTAGTGCAAACTGCATATTCAAATGGAAATTCGACAAAATATGTCACTGAAAAATTAGTATGTATTTTACATTTTTACTTATATATGTGTTTGTTTTTAATTCATATATATTAAAATTGTTTAATTTGTACTATTTAAAGTGTCTTTTCTAAATTACTGTTATTTTATATTGTATTATATTACTAACACATCCTTGTAATGAAACTAATTATTTTAACTGGCCATGATAAATATATAGAATAGTACAGAATTGCATAATAAATAATAATAATAATTTTTATACTAAGATAATTGATATTCATTTACCAATCTCAAGTTGTAAAAGTTTTTAATGCATATAAAAAAAATAGGTGGAAATTTGAGAAGGTAATATATGTACAGTCGTTTAATTTATATCTGTAAGCAATGGATTATTGAAAAAATTAAATCATAAATACATTATAAGTTGATTAATACTAGACCTGCGAAACTCTTTCGTCTTAAATAAATGTTATTTATGTAACCTAAAGATGACTTGGGCCAAAGCTAGTAGTTATCGTTATTATATTATTTTATTATATTTTTTGATTGAATTAATAATTCTATATTTTCTTAACATATTAATGAAGTATACAATTAATAATTATGATGTTATATTGAAATAATCTTTTCATTACTAATAATGTTTTAGAAAGTTCCTGTTGCATGTGTTCCAACTGGTGTAAAATATTTACATCATAAAGCAAATGATTATGATGTCGGTATATATTTTGAAGCCAATGGACATGGTACTTTATTATTCAAAGATGCAATTGGTGAACTTATTCGAAACCAGTCAGCTATTGAAAAAGACGAGTATGTTATCTATTTTATTTTTTAAAATTATGTATATTCTTTACTTATAAATACTTACCATAAATCATTTACTTGTGCACTTTTTATCTGATAGGTATGTATTCTATTATTGAAATAATAGTTGCATTGTTCCTACTAAATTAATAATTTTTAAAATTTACTGATTAGATTGCGCTTTATTGTTATTATTTTTAAGGATAAAGTTATTAGCATTAAAGAAATTGGTCTGTATTATGGATATGACTAATGAGACTGTAGGAGATGCTTATTCCGATATGTTAATTGTTGAAACTGTACTTTGTGAACGAGGATGGAGCCTAAGCGATTGGTATAACACATATTCAGATTTGCCAAATCGTCTTACGAAAGTAACCGTAAAGGTAAAAATCACTTTAGAATTTATTGATGTTTAAAAACAATATTTATGGTGAAATATTTTTAATAACAGGACAGAAATATATTTGCAACTGGTGATGCTGAACGAATTTGTACTAAGCCATTGGGTCTTCAAGAAAAAATAAATTCAATTGTTTCTAAGTATCCATTGGGTAGATCATTTGTCAGGTAAAAAAGATATTGTTTATATTAATTATTTTACACAATGTTAATATATTTTTAAATTAATTATATAAATAAATTCATTGAATAAAACTCACACTAGGAATACATGAGTTCACTAAAAATGTTCTTTTATTGTTATTAATTTTGATGTTTGAAAAAACAAACTAGTTTTCTGATTAAAGAACACAACTAGTCTTTTGTGTAGTGTTTATTATTTGAATTTGTATTTAACCTTGTTTGTAATACTATTTTTTGTAATTATAAACGGGTTGTGCATACATTGTGAAACTACGTTTTTAAAAATTAAACTCCATCTATTTATGTAGGTTGTTGGAATGTTGAATCTGAGTCTGTGGAGACTTCAAGAATGTGTCCGAGTGTTTGAATCACTTTGATCCACTCAATCTTAGAGTTTGGTTCCATGGTCTGGAAACTTTATCAGCTAGGACTAGTAGTCAGGAAACAAACTAGAACTAATTCAAAGAAGTTATTTTATGAATAGTAGCACATATTTAGGTATGTTAGGTCAGCCAGCCAGATAATATTCTTAAGTAGTTAGAACTAGAATTCCTTGGTTCAAGGTGATTTTATAGTATTGTAATTTTTGTATACAAACTAGTTAATGCCTTAATGATATTATAGAATGTTCCATCCAGTTTCATGTTTAGATAGAATCTCCCATTTGTAATGCTGTCTTATAAGAGAACAAATATATTTTTTTTATAATTATATATTGCATTCTTTTAAAATATAATTTTTTTCCTTGGTCCATTAGTTAAATTTAAAATATACTAAAATAATTCAATATACAGGGTTATTCATTAAGCGTGTTCACTCCATTTTTTGGTTAAATTTTGCATGTATTCAAATTTTGAATTTTGGAATTTTTAAGTGTAATTAAAGCTGATATTTTCAAATACTTTTCACAGCATTTAAGGAGTATTCTGCGGTGATACCAACTTTGGTTTTTCAAATGATATTAGAAATACTAAAAATTCCATAAATAGATGAATTATTACTTTAAATACATTTAATTGTTTTAAATTTTTGATTTCTGTCAACCTGTTAACGAGATATTTCACTTTTAAGTTTATGTATGGAGATAGTAGTGGAACACTAATAAAATGTCACGTACCGTGCTACTACTCTTTCCCTACCTAAACTTAAAAGTGGAATACCTCGTTAAAAAGTTGACAGAAATCAAACATTTTGACATCAAAATGTATTTAAAGTAATACTTCACTTATCTATGGAATTTTTAATATAGACTATCATTTGAAAAACCAAACGTGGTTCGCCACAGTATACTACTTAAATGTTGTAAAAAATCTAAATATTCGAAAATGAGGTGAGCACCAAGCACAGCTTAATGAATCATCTTGTATAATTTATATTCATTCTATAAATTGTAAAATGTATAAAATTGTGTGTTTGTACTAATAGATGAATATTTACAAAACAAAAATATATTTTATTGTTATGTTTATTAGATCCATTAATAAATAATAGCAATAATATCTATAGCAAATTTTGTACTATTTTATTTTACAGGCCTTCTGGTACAGAAGATGTTGTGAGAATTTATGCTGAAGCAGATACCCAAACAAATGCTGATAAACTTGCTGTTGAAGTGGCTACTACAGTTTATGATTTCGCTGATGGTGTGGGAAAAAAACCAGAATAACTTTAATTTTAAAAATATGTGTTCATTGAGTGCTGTAATTATTATCAAGATAATTAAGTTTTTTTATACATAGTTTATGATTGTTATTACATTTTTAAGTGTTAATAATTATTAAAAAATAGAATGATCAACGTTAAACAAATTTATGTTTTATATATCACTGTTTACACATTATAATTGTTATAACATTTTTTTTAAGAATTATATTATAAAACTTTTATTTTTATATGATGTTATTAATTCTTTTTACACATTTTATTAAAATTTAATACAAATGTTGTATCATTATTGTTGTATTTGTTTTACTAAATACCGTGGCTAAATTTGATATTTGGTCCATAATTCATTCGGGCTATCACAGTTTAATGGCAATCATACCAGAAATATGCTGGTTACTCTTAATCATAAGATTACATTTTTAAAAATTGTTAAAATTTCAAACAGGTAAGCCATTGTTTTTATTTTGATTAATAATATAATGGCCAATAGGCAATGTATTAAAAATTGAAGTTCACGCTATATTACAAAATACTCTCAAACACAGTGATTTTTATTTTTATTTCCAATGTATTGGTTTTACTATATATATTTTTTGTCTGAGAACAATTTTTTACTATACATGTTGATTTTAATTCGATAATAAAATAGTTAATTCTAGATATTTCATTGTTCAATATTAACCACGTGTCCACACCACTAACCCACCAATTTCCATAGGTCAATATTTCTTCCTTTTTGGACCACCTTATCAATGCTACTAAACATAAGATTTCTTGAACACCGGGAATTACTTTAAAAAATTCAAGATATTTTACTAATTATTCTGAGTTAAATATAAAAAAAATCAGCAAAACCGTGAATAAGCTAGCAAAAGAATGGCCAAATGACATCATATAAAAATATTTGTTGTGATCTATCAAAACATAAAATTGATTGTTTAAATATGTTAGGATAAACAACCGAAAACATTTATTGATAGTCAATGCACCAAATTTTGCAGTTGGGTGCAACTCTTTTCCAGTTTCTATGGTCTTTTCCTTGCCTTTGAAGATTAAAAACATATCTGCACAACAAGACTGGTGAGGAGTGATTAAATGGATTGATGCTATTAAACTTATATAGAAACGTGGTAGTGATCTACGAAGAAATCATTGATAAAATGGCTGAAGTAAGAGTGTGTAGCGTTGTCTTAATGATTAATATTATTTAAAGACTATTAATTTATTTAAAATTTAATACAACACGTTATTGTAATAATAATATTTAACAAAATGTTTTATAGTAACACTATAATCTTAATAAGTACCTATTATTGCAGTTGGAATATTATTCCGTAATAAATAAATAAATATTAGCGAAATATTTTTTGGCCACAATTTAATTTTTATTATAATACTTAAAAATAAGACGTCCTAGGATAATGGGGACGGGTGCAGCCATTGTTATAGATAATTTAATGTATACCGGGTAAGGAACGGTAATCCATTGCTTACGAAAAACAATATAGGTATATGTCATTTTATAGTAAAATAATTAAATAGACTTTATATATTTTCTTTAATAATATTTGTATAATGTTGTACCGATTTTCCCAGTTTTCCTACGTTCTTCCCGGTTTTCTCATGTTTTATCCCGGTTTTTCACATTTGCTAGGAAAACTCCTGTGAAAATCGAAAAACGGCTTTCTAAAGTACCTCCCTAGTAAAATTTCCTTTTTAAAAATTGATATCATTAAAAGTTGGAGCAAAATTGTTGGTAGAAAAGTTGTACACAGAAAAAAAGAAGTCCGTAATATATTATTTCTAATACCTACGTTTCTTATATTTTCCGATTTTTTTCGGTTTTTCATATTTGATAAGAAAACTCAAATGACCTCTCTAAAGTACCTCTCTAGTGAAATTTTCTTCTAGAAATATTACTATCATTAAAGGTTGGAGCTAAATTGCTGGTTAAAAAGTTGTGTGCAGGAAAAAAAGAATAGTAATATATTTCGTACATTTTTCCATTTTTTTCGATTTTCAATTTTTATGAAAAAAATTTTGAGAAAATCGAAAAATACCCAAAGTACCTCTCCACACCGATTTCCTTTCAGAAACGTTGCAACACTTTGAAATTCGAGCAAGTCTTCTGGTAGAAAAGTTGTTTACACATAAAAAATAAAAAGGCATATATAATACCTATTTAATTAATTTACCATAATATGATATAAATATTGTTGACAAAGTATCACTATCAACTGAACTCCACTCACAATTGCTTTTTCGTTAACTGCATTTTAAATAACTTAGATTGACAACTTATTGTTTAATTAAATGTTCAGAGTTTTAGTGTTGATTGGTAGAATGAATAATGGACAACTGGCTACTGTTAATATATTTAACAAATCTAACAATTTAGGTTTATTTTGAGATCAAGTATAGTGAAAAACACGGTCTTACAAGATAAGGTCGAACTCATTTCCAAGTTGTACCACTGTAAAATTCAGCGTTGACCTACGGACTTATTTTGATGTTATGACTTTATACTACTTTAAAATAACCACGAACAACAGATATCAATATTATACTCACAGATATTTAAAACAATATTTTATATATCTATGATTATACTAGATAGCCGACTCCGTATATTATTGTATGATTAGATAAACCGTTAGCCGCCATTTGTAAATAGGTTAATGTTTGCTAAAATATATCTTTCTTTAAAAATACCTATAGGATCTATTACATCTATATTATGATATTCATAATTTCCATATTATTCCAATTAAATAGGTTTTGATATTATTTTCAATTGAATTATTAAAATATTCATCCGAGGAGTGTGTTAAAACAAGTACCTATGTGAATTTCTGTATTCTAACAAGGTTTAAATTATGAAAGTTAAATATTAATAAACTTAACATGCTTGGAATTGGAATCAAAGTGGGTGGTATATTAATTCCAATGATCCGGTTTGCAGACGACATCGTAATACTAGCAAAAACAGAGCACGACCTTCAGAGAGCTCTGGAAGAAATGCAAATAATTATAAATAAGTATCAAATGCGTATAAATTCAAGTAAAACAAAAATTTTAGTTTGTGCTCGTGAACCCACAATTAACGCAAATATTTATTTAGAAAACCAACTTATTTCCCAAGTTTCTAGTTTTAAATACTTGGAAAGTCTAATAACATCAGACGGAAGAAGTTCACAGGAAATTAAACAAAGAATCGGGCAAGCAAAAACAACTTTTATCAAGAAAAAGAAAATTTTGGTTTCGAAAAAAATTAGCAGAGCAATAAAAAATACTTTTTTAAAAACGTTTGTATGGAGTGTCGCTTTATACGGCTGCGAAACATGGGTTATTAATGAAAAGGAAAAAAGATCCCTGGAAGCATTTGAAATGTGGTGTTGGAGACGAATGGAAAAAATAAACTGGACAGAAAGAGTAACAAATGAAGATGTATTGACCCAAGTTGGAGAAACAAGATCCTTAATTAAAGCCATAAAGCGACGACGATGGGACATGATGGGACACGTTTTACGTCATGACGAAGAACTGCATCATACTATAATAGAAGGTGCAATTGAAGGACGGAAACCACCAGGAAGACCAAGAAACTCGTACATATCTCAACCGAAAAATGACGTAGGGTTTGATACATACGTCGGATTAAAAAGACTTGATAAAGATCGTGATAAGTGGAGAGCGAAGTTAAAAACGTTGTGAACTACCCTAATATAGGTTGAAAAAAAAAAAAAAAACATTTATTTTTTATTCACAGGTAAATTAAGTTTTTGAGAATTTGGCAATTTCTTAAAATTTTTATTATCAATCGTCCCTTCGTTTTCGTGTTAACTAATGAGGAACACGTTTGTTTGGGATAAACTTGTGGTGTTACAAAACCTGGCTTACAAGTATTGCAATCATCAATGTATTTCAACATTTGTTTAGATAAATACCCTACAATTGTAATTAATTAATTTTAATGTTCAATACAATTTTACAAATAATTATTAATGGTAAATGTATCACAATATTTTGTTACATAACAGTTAAATAATATATTAGACAATCTATTATTGCAGCCTTTGTATAATTGTGTTCAACAATTTCATCAAATTCCCAATCTTTCTCTTCAATTATTTTATTAATTTTTACATTTATGCCATATTAATTATATGTGTTATGTTAATATTTATCTGTAAATGTACTTGATTTTCAAACTACATAGGAATCCAAGTTTTGTTTTCTATTTAAACAGAATTCACATATTTCACTCCGTGTAATCAAAATTAATGTAAAGCTAACAAATGGAAGCTTTATGATAAATATTGTAACATAAAAAAACAAAATTAAACATATAACTTTAGATACAAAACAGTCTTCAATTGAAAAACCACTAGTTTTTATTAAAAATGAGGGTAATTTTTAATAATTTTTGACCTATTAATCTACTCATTAGTCATAAACTCATAGATTTCATCACGTACCTACTTTAAGTCGTTAATCCGTATTTAAATCCTTTAGATAACCGGTTGTAATATAGGTAAATATAAATTAATTAAATAAATATAATAAGTAGGCACTTATACAGTTTATAAATTATAATTATCTTGTTCTTTTTGTACGATAAAATTACTAGGTATATATTAGTTTTATTACTGAAGTTCTTAAAATATCTAACTGCTATTAGTCTACCTACAATAAACTTGAAAACAGCCGTTTGAAAAAATAATACGTAGTTCGCAAACGGCTACCCCATTTCAAAGAGCCTAGTCTTTTTGCAAATGACTAATTTACCATATGGTCCACGACATACATATTATATTAAATCATATATTTAATTGTCTGTATTATATTGATTTTTTTTAATTTGTATTTAACTACATATTGTATTACATTTGACATTTATAATACAACTGAATAATTTTATTGTGTAATTGTATTATTTCTTTTACATTGAAACGTAGTATTTACCTATAAACAGGCATACTCAACCAAATATATTAGTGACTGTAACATAAATTCACAATTTAATCTACTGTAAACTATACTAGTTAATATAGTCATGGGAGCTACATAAATTTGTCATAGGAACTATCGTAAAATGCATTCAACAATTTTGTTTAAATGTGGTAACTATAAAGAAAGTTTAAATCAAACACTATGAATAGTTAAATTTACTATATTATTTTGGATAATTCATCTGTGGAATTCGTAGCTGCAGTTTTAGGATATTTAACTAAAATTAGCGGTTTCAACAATAAATATAGGTGTCCCATATACAGTTTTAAACTACAGGGAAATCAACTTGAAAACCCACTATTTGTAATATACTATTTTTTTTCCGTGTAGGCGAATCTTATCTAACGTACGAGGAGTCGTGTACTACACTCACTAGGGTAGAAACTGGTTTAAATTCTAGACCGTTAACCACCCTGTCCTCCGATCCTTCCGATTCAGTTTATATCACAACCGCTCATTTCCTTATCGGAGACTCCCTAATGGCGGCATCAGAGCGTGATGAAACGAATACGCCGGATAAACAGTTCAGACCGTTGGCGTCGCGTCAAGACAGTTTTCACAAATACTGTGGAAACGTAGGAGTCGTGAATATTTGCGTAAATTGCAAGAGTGGGCTCTAAATGGGCGTGCGAGAATGGGCCCGAATTACATATCAACAGTGCGGTTCTTATCCGGGAAGACCACCCGCCCCCATTACGGTGGAAAGTTGGACGGGTGACCGAGGTAACACGAGGGAATGTTTTTAATAATTCCCTCGAGGAATGTTAAAAAGGAAAATTATTCGCACCGCGGCAGTCGAAACTGGCGATGCTGAGGTGACAAGGGCGGTACGCAAGCTGCGTTCCACTACCGTTTAATGGAAATAACGGCCGAAAGTCAAAGGCCGTATATTATTATTATTATTTTTTTTTTGTTTTTATATGAATTATAATTATTATTTAAGAAATAATTTTTTTTTTTCTTTAAATATTATTGCTTATTGTGTTACGTTATAATCTACTTTGTTTATTTGTTATGTCAAGAGATTAGAGCTGTCGGTCGACAGAAATATTTTTTTCAAGCGTGCAGGTTTAGATAAATATGCAATAAGACATTGTTATCGGTCGAAACGACCGACGGTCCGGTAATCTATTATTTTTTTTATTGTATTCAAGAGTCAGTCGTAGAAAGCGTATCGACGAGCGCGTCGTGCCGGTTCCGCATAAAGTTCTATGAAACGAACGCGTTACAACGACTTAAGTTTCGTCTCAATTATCGATTTTAACTATTGCGCCGGCGAGACAATCCCGAGGAACCGGAAACGGAATCTTTATGGTCCACTCCGCAACAGTTATAGTTTGTATGCATACATGCACGTATATAATAAAATATTTATAACGATTAACGTCCCTATCCCTTTCGCGAACCCCGGCCACGCCACTGACGAACCGCCCGGCGGACGCACCGTCTACTATCGTCGTTACCTAAATAAGTTGTCGGACGAGTGCCGGCGCGTGTCGTGAATATGGGCGAAGGCGCGTAAATAACGTGGGACTGTAACCAAATACTGTGCGGATTAACCGAATCCACGGTGTTCGGCAGTCCGTCTCGAGGAGATGGCCCGAATCGCCCGAATCGCGCGTGCCGACGGGGCTTCACGCCGCCGCCATCGCGAATCGTACAGAATCGTATTGAACCGGCGGTGGTCTAAACGCCGCGGCGGCGTGGGAGGGGGTCAATGCGCGTCAAGGCGGGAACGGACTATTGTCGTGAGCTCACGTGACGTGAAAAAAGCGCGGGAAACAGGTTTATACAGGTATTTTGATGTATTAAAGCACCGCATTAACGTCGCCTCGCGCGTGTCACGTCACGTTTCCTACCTCACGCGCGATGAACCGCGATGTCACGTTTTGATTTTCCAACTTCGCACACATTTTCGACTGCGTGAGCTCGCGGATTTTGTCTGTTTTGTTATTATTCATCATTTGTATGCACTTATAATTATAACGCTCTTAATGTTTAGAACAATTTTACGCCAGTTCATTATCTTTAAAAAAAAAAAAAAAATTTTTTTAGTACGGATGAACTTCTCATTGAAAAAGTCCGCGAACATCATGTTTCGAAATTGAGTATTTTGCTTTTGCATGTCTTGTTTAATAAGTTCATGCAAAATAATCAAATTCTTCTTTTGTCATCCGGAAATACATGCGAAACCGTTTTGGTTCGTTTCGTAATTCACGAACCCAACGATAGAATTCGCTCAATTGGTTCCTTTTTTTTATCGATTTCATGTACCCAGATTGATCGGGTGGTTCTTTTTATTTTCCTCGTCTGAAACCACAAATACAGCTGCTGTTTCCAATTCTTCTTCCCACTCTGAACTACTTGAAGTTTCTCTATCCGTTTTAAATTTATTATAAAATAAAAATGTGGGCGAACACAGTACATAAACAGTGGAGTTCATTCAACAGTCGTACAGTGACTCAAAAGTGACTCTGAACAAAACTGTGACGTGATAAAGCATGAAAACTTGATAATGTGACAATAGTTTGTTTCTAAGCGTGACATCACGGTTAAAATATGCCAATGTGACAACACGTGAGCTCACGTGACGTGACAATAGTCTGTTCCCGCCTTCACTAACCGGTTTCCGTTAAAACGCGGTACCGTTATTTCGTGAGAGAGTATGCGCGTCGTAAGTGGTTTAGCAGATTTGTGTGAAAGGTTTTTGCCTAATGTCTGCACGTTTATTAATTGTATCGTTATCGGTGTACAGGTACCATGAACCGGACCGTGACTATTTCTATCGTTTGTACTTTACTTACATTATATATTGTATCTTTGAAATTGTTAGACGAAGAAACGGGTAAGAAACAACCTCATATCGTCGTCATAATTGCCGATGATTTGGTGAGTACCTACTTATTTACATATTTAATCCATGCTATTTATTATATGTTACCGTTTGGTATGAGACAATTTTTGTAAATAAATCATAATGAATATTATTTGTACATACGTATCTGTATCTGCGTTCATTTCAGGGTTGGAACGATGTTGGTTTTCACGGTTCTATTCAAATACCCACTCCAAATATTGACGCACTAGCTTATAATGGTATAATATTAAATCGGCATTATGTACAACCGACTTGTACACCGTCAAGAGCTGCTTTGCTTACTGGAAAATATCCGATTCGTTATGGTATTAATAGATTTTTCTTTTGTTTTTCTTATGCTTTGCGTGCCTGTTGAATAGGCTCCCAATGTTTTCCCGCGTTTTCCTCCGCTCGTATTCCCCAGTATCTCGGTTTCGTATAGGTCCATATATTTTCCTCAGAATATTCCTCTCGAATATCAACAGTTTTCCATCGTCACCTATTGTTGTCTACCACGTTTCACAACCATACACGGTGATTGGACGAAGATATATAGTATAGAGGTACTATAGAGTTTTATTTTGGATTCTTTTGATATTAATCTTAACTTGAAAATCCTATTGATGGCAAAAATAACCGCGATTTGCTGCCGCTATTCTCAGATTCATCTCATTGTGTATGTTATTGTTAGTGTTTAAATTCACACCCAAGTATTTAAATTTGTCCACCCGCTCAAAAGTGTAACCTATTTTGAGATTTTAAGATAGATTTTAAGAGTCTCCCTAGATAACAATATCGTCCGCATATGCCAGTAGGTTCCTGTTCCCAACTAATTCCATGGACCTGTTATCTCTCAGATCTCTTACCACTTGTTCTAATGCCAAGGTAAATAAATATTACTAGAGACAATGCGTCTCCTTAGTCCTATTTTTATTTCAAAACTTTTGGACGTTTCTCATAAATAACGCACTTGGCACATTGAATTTCCATTACAGTTTTTGATTAATCCCACAAGTTTTGAGGGGATTCCAAATTTGTTTAGTTTCATCAAAAGTTGATCCCTGTCAATGTTGTAATATACTGTCGTAGATTAGTAGATTTATTGAACTCATAAAACTTGTCCATAACATATCGCAGTGTAAAAATATGATCGCTTGTCGATTTTGCTTTAACGAAACCACACTGATAGGGTGTAGACAATTTTGGTGCAAATTGACCCTAAATATATACAACATTTGTAATTTGCACCATCTCATGTAGTAAGAAATACCAATTGTAATTTGCACCAAAGTTCAAATGGATTATTCTTTCGATAGTATCTAAGTACAAATTTCGGTATTAGAGTATATGTTGATTGGCTAAAGACACAGAATATTATTTTCGATTTTGAGTGGTTGTTTCACTTACCTATTTACACCGTTTTACGGTATGTCACAGTATTGACTTAAAAACTACCTTACAACAATAATATACGACAGATATATTATATAATATTATAACAATTGTATTATTTTAGGCAAAAATATAACTTAGTATTTTTCTGTTACAAATGAAAAGTCGGAAAGACTTAGATTAGTATTTGGTCGAAATAATGAATTACGCGATTACGACGGATAATCGAACGTCAAATTTTGAAATGATTACCAGGTAAAGTGGCGGGTAGTCAGGAAACCCGGTAATAAAATACAGTAAAACTCGCTTAAGACGCTCTTTAAGGGACCTGCTCTCTAGAGCGTCTTAAGTGGGAGCATCTTAAGCGAGTTTACTGTACAATATATATTTTATCATTTTAAGTGAGAAAATGAAAAAATATAAAAATGTATGAAAGTTTGAAAATATCAATCAATTTATGTAATAATTATGTTTTATAGAACGAGTGTGTATTAATAAATTCATTATTTAGAAATAGAATATTATAAAGATAAACTAATTTTAAATAATAATTTTAAAATAATTTTTGGATTTTTAAAAATAGTAATATAGGTCGGCTAAAATTTTCTGTTATACCACAATGGGTCAATCGAATAGGCACTTGACAATCGAATACAAAGGTACTCATTTTGGTGCAAATTACAAACACTATTTTCGGCTACTTGTAGTGGTGCAAATTACATATCTTTATTTCGGTGCAAATTATAAACTCCCCATTGATTTTAATTACCTATTATCGATCGCTATTATAGATAAACGGGTAAAACCATGCATTCATTGTAACTCACGAAATATTCTGTTTTATATAATATGTTTATTTTTTATAACTATTTATTAAATTTTTAATTGTAATTTTTTCTATGTTACTACATTAAATACTTAATCCCGGGATTAGCTATTTGTTAACCCCGGTATTTCCAGGATCAAAAAAAAGTCGGGATTGTATTCTCTACCAACAGCAGTAGCCGCACGCACTCACCCGTCCCCAGTATCAGTAGCTCTTTAGTTTTAAAAAAACATTTTTCTTTATCTGTCAACAACTTTTCTTTTAACAATTTTGCTCCGATTTTCAAAGATAGCACTTTTAAGTAATACAAATTTATTTGGAAAAAAATTCACCCTACAGAGGGGAGGGGAGGCAGCTGCTTAACATCTCACCACGTACGCACACGGTACACCTATTATGTATATCTATGGTGTAATGATGGGTGATATTACATTTCTTATCGTACGGACGTACTACATACCTAACTATTTCAATCTCACACGTATCAAAAAATTGAATACTTAATATCAATTTAATACCTATATACGATCACACATATTGCATTGTATATAATGGATAATTTGTATTTAAAATTATTATTTTAGGGAAATAGGGAAACACTCGAGGTCTGAACTGTTAGCTGTAGTTCAGAGAAACAAAGCGGGGGAAAGGTTGTCTCCCCCCGGAGTTTGACTTGAAACCATAATAGCTATACCGAGGATTGGTTCTAGTATTTTGTTTCATTTTAATTTATAATACTTTGTTTAGGTGGGCAAGGTACGCCTATTGCTGCTGGTGTTCCGTCAGCGCTTCCGTTGGATAACAAAATTTTACCACAAGTAAATATGGCTATTTATACATGTTAATTTCCAGTAAAATTATAAATTGTATAGTACGTAATTGTTAATATATCGAAATGTTTTATTGATGAAATTTAAGTATTTAAAAGACGTAGGCTATTCAACTCACTTGATAGGAAAATGGCACTTGGGATCATACAAAACAGATTTTACTCCCACTCGAAGAGGATTCGACAGTCATTTCGGTTATTGGAATGGATATATCAGTTATAGAAACAGCACACATTCTACGGTGAGCCAATTGTACATAGAGGTACCTAGGTACAACCACATTTTATTCATTAGCATATCGTTTTGTAAAAATAGAGAACTATGAGTGGCAAAGATGCTAGACGTGGAATTGAACGGGCAGGAGATGAGATGAACGATCGATATGTGACTGATATTTTCACCGATGAAGCTCTTAAAGTTATACAATTATGTAAAGGCCAGGAAAAACCAATGTTTTTAATGTTAAGTCATTTAGCTGTTCATTCGGGAAATCCTGGACCAGAAAGTTTGGAAGTAGCAAATAAAACGCATAATAACATTCAATTTAATTATATTAAAAATGAAGAAAGAAGATTATTTGCAGGTAAGAAAATACGTAAGAATATTATAATATTTAATATCTAATGGTTTTAAATTCTGAGCAGAGCGAAGAATGTACTCGTGTATTGGTTTTTCAATAAATTTTGTTGTGTGCTGAGATTACTTTTTTTTTTTGTCTATAAATAACTTTTCTACCAGTGCCAGTAAAAAAATGACAAAAAGTTTTTTTTTTTTATTGATTTTTGGATCTGGTTGGTGCATTGATTAAATCATTTTTTGATTTTTCTTGTAGTTTTCCTGATTATTAAGAAAGAACGGGAAAATGCACGATTTCATAATTATCAAGTTTCTATTTTTTTCGTAATTCGGTTAAAAATAATCGTTAATATTTGACCTAGAATACTTATATTATCCTTTTCTATAAGTCTTTAAATTTTAAAAACATACGCAGGTGATTTTGTAGTTATTTATAGGTATTTGACATTCTTGATTTTATTAGTTTTTATTTAATTTTACGTAGACGTTTTGGCTGAGCAGACATGTTTGAATTGTTAAATATTTGTATTCAAGGTTTATCATAAGTTGTATACTAACCGGCAAAAAAATAAAATTAAGCGTAATATAGTATTTTTTAAATTTAAATTTAAGGTTCAAATTTCGAGGAAAATTGTAAAAATCGTGGCATTTTAAAACACGTTTAACTGAACTTCGTCCATAATTGTTTTTCGTTGTAAATAATTTACTGTTGCGAATAAATTTAAATTAACTTTATGTATCTTATATCTTCCCAACTTTATCAGTGGTCCACCTTTCAGTAGTATACCAGCCACTTTTTAATTTTTCTCCAAAAATAGAGACTATTATTCTATATTGTGTATTTGTGACTATTATATTTATATAACTAGGTAATATATATCTTATTCTCGTTAATTATGGAAACTTCTAGCAGCTTTATCTAGATTCAATTATCTCAAACTCAGGAATTAGAGCTGTTTTACTAGTGCGGATTGAATTGATAAAAATTGGTTTGAATTTCGATATGAATTCAAGTAAGTTGTTAAGGTAGTAGACGGGTATTTTTTATTCGTTGCTCACCCCTATAGACCCCCCCAATGAAATATTGAATGTGTGTTGCATTAGTGGTAAGGAAATATGTTTTAGGGTTTTAAATACTATCTCAACCATTTTTGTGCTCAAGTTCCACATTTTTATACGGGAAATTCCTAGTTTTAAAACCCTTACAAATTACTCAAATAAAGTATCGATAACAAGACTACCAGATAAAAATTTGACTCTAGTGACGTAGCTTTGCTGCTCACGGGTGTTTTTTGAATTCAAACTTAATTTGTACAAGTCCATATAACTTGCTATTTATAAAAATAATATTGTATAAATATATTTGCTGGACACACGATTCTGATTTAAAATATTTTCTATACAAATTATAGTAAATGGCATTATGATAGTTCGTTATTATATGTGCAGGCATGCTTACTTCATTGGACGAATCTGTTGGCAGTGTAATCGAATCATTGCACAAAAATGAAATGTTAGAAAATTCTATAATATTGTTTATATCCGACAATGGTGCACCAGCCGAAGATCCAGTATGGAATCATCAAAATTTTGGCTCCAATTGGCCTTTAAGAGGAGTATGCTTCTAATTATTATGTGATATTTATTTTATTTTAGCAGTATCAGCCATTTATTTTAGATTCTGAACATAGCGAGGAATATGTTGGTTTTACTATAAATTTTGTATGTGTGGGTGACTATAAGCAACGCATCTATCAGAAATCTTACTCCAATAAAAAAAATTACAAGAGATATTTTTTATTGCATTTTTTATATTTATGATGGCGTAATGTAGAAGTTTTTTTTATAAACGTTCAAAGATTAAATTTTAACGAAAATTGTAAATATTACGGCATTTCAAAACGTAAAAAAAGAACTTCGCTCCGAATCGTATTTCGTTATCAATTTTTTATCGTTTCTTACAGATGTAAATTAAATAACTTTACATACCCAATCTTTACAACTTTCCAACTATAATAGGGACACGCTGGTATGAGCTCTTTTTTTTTAAATTTAAACTTGAATGTTACGGTTAATATTTCATCCCTTAAGGTACTTAATTTGATTTTATATTTTTTAAATTAAAGTAAGAAAAATGAAATTTATCACCCCCAAACACAATTAAGTATTACATTTTTTTAAATGGCATGCAATTACTAATTTTATCTATTATCTGTGTATACTGACACACAGTGGTGTATACCTATACTGCAGGTTACTGTGCAGTTAAATTAATAATTGTCTCATAATAAATTATACAAATTATAGGAAAAAGGATCAGTACTTGATGGAGGTGTACGTGGAGTAGCTGCAATATGGAGCCCGTGGTTAAAAGAAAAACACAGTGTTTCAGAAAATTTATTTCATATAACTGATTGGTTGCCAACTTTATATACTGCTGCAGGTAATCCATATTAAATATCTATCGACTATTTAGTTATTAAGTATTAAATAGTGGTATAGTCGAAGGTATACGCGGCTATACGGCGTATTACAACTTCTCAATTTTAGAAGGAAATTTCCCTGGAGTAATGATTTAGGGAGGTTATATTTTGATTTACGAAAATAATACTTTTATTATTTTAAATTTTGTTTTTTTATTTTAATTCAATTAAAAATGTTTGTAGAAACTTGAAATTTAGAAACTTTAGAATTTAGAATTGCCTTTTCTAGATATGGTAAATTTTCAAAACATTTGAGCCTTTTCTGAGCTATTTATAGACATTTAAAATTTGCGAGCTTTTACGTAATATTAATTTAGTATTCTGTGGATAAACTTGTTAGACCAAACAGAAATGCTTGAAAAATCAACAGGAGGTTCGTTATAAGTTGTACTTAGTGGTCAACAAGAAAAATGTGAGTGTAATGTAGTATTTTTTTTTATATAAGAGTTTTATTATCAAATGTTGACGAAAATTATAAATATTCTAATGGCCTGTTAAAACATGTACGACTGAACTACACTCAGAATCTTTTTCGTTAGAAATGATAAACCGATGTATACAAAAAAAAATAAATAAATTTTCTTCTTTATCCTACTTTCTCAACTTCTCACCAACAATAGTGGCCCACCCATCGTGCGAATTATGAGCATCTTTTTGGTTGATGCGTATATAATTATTGTATAATGTGTAATACGCAGGTATACGCATAGGGGCGTATATAAATCGAACATCACTATTGTTCTTTTCGATCTTTTTTATAAGGTCATACACCATTTGTGCATCAAAATGTTTGACTATGGAAGGATTGAAAGTAATAAGGACTAAGGAGTGCACAATTATTTCCTAAATTTCAGCTTAATGTCCAGTACAGAGATTATAGATATATTGCAACGATAAACGCGGGTGAATTGTAACAACCACCCAATCCAGCCAGATATTGTCAAATAATTCGTTAGGGTTCGTTAAACGAAATACGGTGTCTTTTACCCCTCTTAAATACCTTCGCACCGTCTACTTTTCCTTGGTACGCTCTATCCTCGAATACGGAGTAGTTGTCTGGTCTTCTTACCTGGCCGGGGACCAATTAAAATTAGAGAGTGTTCGGCATAGGCTCTTGTCCTACGCCGCGTATATACTCAAGATAGACCATCCTCTTCACGATTATTTCCTCATTCTAAACACCTTAAAAGTACCGCTACTCTCTTCTCGACATCTGGATTTGACCTTTATCACCTCCCTTTTTAATGGCACATTGGATATACTTGATCTGCTGGCCATGTTTTACTTTCGCATCCCATCATATGGTACCATATATATGGTATTAGAAGCCACCAATTATTTCACGTTCCCACTCAGTTTACGCCCTATAGGCATAATCACCCCTTCACAGAATGTTGCGTAATGCAAATAGTTCTAACATTAATACTGCCCTAGTTTGATTTTAAGGTTTCACTTATCAATTTTCTATATTTTAAATCTGTATAACTTAGTTATATCTGTAAATATTCTCAAATACTTTTTTGTTATCTAAACTGTTCCTTATGCATGTTGTCGTTAGTCGTTAATTTTCAAAAATAAATAAATAAATAACATAATGTAACTAGTTAATACGCCAAATGTCAATATGACATATTTTAAAGTAACTATTATGAGTAGGTACTATAGATAACTAAGACCATAATAAATGTGATGTATGCTACTTTTGTATTTCTAAATATTTTGTTATTATTATTACTATTTTTTTTTTATTGTTCAATTTTTGACGCATAAATGATGTAAATGTTGATGCGAGGTAAATGGATAGTGGGCTCATAATAACCGCTGACGCATAGACATAATATACTATCACTTTACTAGAGCTGTGAATTTAATGCATTGCGTATCTTTTTTTTTTCGCAAAACCGTATAAGAAAATGGATTCAGTCAGAATCTGTTTTGGCTTATCTATACTTAAAATACGAAACCTTATTTTGCATATTTAACAGATTAAGGCATACAAATACATGTTTTCATGATTTTTTCTTAATATTTATAGTTTTTCGGTCAACCTGGTATAAATTGATCTAAATGTTTTTATTTATAATACCTAAGTCTTTTGGGGTTTATGCGTATATGTTTAACTAAAATGTATTTTGTATGTTCTCATAACACAGTTAAAGACTTCGAGTAAAATTATAAATCACTACAGGTGCCTATTTATTCGATAGTGTTTATTCGGGTACCTGTTTACGACACTATAAGTAATATAAAATTACAAAAAAAAAAAAAGATCCGATACTGGAGTACAAAAAGTTATTTAATTTACACCTGTAGCTGACGATAAATCACTGATTATAAAAAACGATTCGGAGTAAAGTTCAATTATATATTTTTTGAAATTTTCGTGATATTCATGATTTTCGTCAAAATTAGATTTTAAATATTATATATATATATATATATAAAAAAAAATACTGCATTAAAATATTTTTGTTTTTACCAATAAGTTATTTTATAAGAATTTGAATATCAAATTTTGACAAAATTCGAAAATAATACAGCCTTTTAAAACTTTTAAAATCTTCGTTGATCTAACATTAAGAAATAAAAATGTACCTATAATCTATTTTTTAGGTGGTAATTTAGAAAACTTAGATTCAGTTGACGGTATTAATCAATGGACAAGTATAACTGATAACTTAAAACAAATGAGAACATCAATTTTAATCAACATTGACGAGGTAAGAGGAGAAAAAGCATTGATTTTCAACCAATGGAAAGTTGTGAAAAGTAAATATTTTTGCTTTATCTTATACCACTACAATATAATATAAATTTTGTATATGGACTTTAGTAACCTAAACCTTAAGTTTAATGACTCGTCGTTGTGTTCCGACAGGCAATCGTACAAGTAATTTGGTTAGTTTTCTGAAATATAGCGGAGACACTGGTAATAATGGACCAGATTACAATATGTCAAACGTAGTGGAAAGTGTTGCTGGCTCGCATTTATCTAAACTCAATTGCATACTTTCAAAAGAAGACTGCATGAACACGTCGACCTCATACGATCTGTTTTACAAACTTCGTTCTCGAGCTAATATTGTCAATCAATGTTCTGAACGTATTTCCAACCCTGATCCCAATGAACATTATGAATGTTTTGATGATTATTGTTTGTTCGATATTCGTCGAGATCCTTGTGAGTATCGAAATGTAGTCAAACAAAATCAAGAAGCATTGAATATGACAGTATTCATGTTGGAACAGTTTGAAAATGAACTTGTGAATCAAACACTATTAACAGTAGATCCCAATGCGGATCCTCGTTATTTTGGCGGATATTGGGAAACTTGGATGAGTTACAATACAAATATAGTAGGTAATAGGTAACTAAATGGAAAACGATAAACAAAAAAAATAAAATATCACAAAACAAAACATAGCGTTAAACAAAAAATGAATAGTATCATTAAACATAGAGTGATCGTAACGTTACGGAGACATCGGCAGTCTCTCCGTTGTACGGGTGAGTACGACGGGAACATTTAAGTATTGTTTAATTAGTTTTATATTTTGTGTTTTAATAAAGTTTTCCGTGAACCATATTGTCTGTTTTTCTGTGAGTGATCGCAAGGTATATCACTGTAAAGTGCAAGATATATGACAGTGGCGTCCAACGTGGGATTGGAACCCACGTCCCGACCGAAATTAAGAATCTCGTGCTATACTAACTCAGCTAGCCGGCCCATAAAATAACGCCAAACGAAATATCAAAATAACAAAACAGAATATTTTATATTTTCGTTGAAATATTTCTTCTTGTTTTCGCGATTTATTTTATCTTTTGATTTTAACAATTTTTTAGTAGTGGGAGAGTAACAACGCACCACACTAATAATACTCCAATTTCAAAAGAATTTAATATTTATCAACATTTTATACATTTTTCCAAACAAATTTTCCTTGGAATTAGTTATCAATCATATTATTACATGTATAAATAATTTAAGAGGGCGAGACGTTCAGAAAACCAAAGTTTTTTATATTTGTCACCCTTAAATAAATAATAGTAGTCAATTTTTTATATTTTGAATACACTTTACAATAAACTTGTCTATTTTTTTTTTTTAATTGATAAAAAACGTTGTTCAAATGTTAAAAAAAGAACTTAAAATATTTTAAAAAGGCTAAAAATCTTAGGGAGCTATAAAATAAAATCCCGCCTCTAACAGCTCTAACTTATATTTATAATATACAACTGTCTAATACAACAAACACAAATTAATCTTTTATGGGTAATTAAAAAAAAAAAAATGTTGCGTATAGGTATTATAAATACGATTACTTTTAATTTTTTTTATCAATATATCATATTTGTAGTTATAGAAAATAGTATTTTATAAATTGAGGCTTTAGAGGGGGGGGGGGAATTTTATAGTCTCTACAATTTTTACTCATTAAAAATATTTTTTAAGTGCTATTTTTGAAGTTTTAAGAAATTGTTTATGGATTTTAAGAGCTCTAAAATTCGAGCCCTGGTTTGATACTATGAGATTACAATTATACATGAATTTCCAGAGTTACCAGTTGTTTAACAATTTTTTTTATTTTGTCTGCAATAAACTAAATAAAAAATCCAGGTGATTAATTTTATAACACAAATTAATCAGCTAAGCCATTAATCTAGATTAATCTAAAACAAAACATTAAGCATTTTTTTTTCTCTCAAAAAGGTACAGCGAGTTTACAACAACAAACAGATTTTGGAGTCCATAGTTTTCCATTTGTCATCTGAATGTAGTAATATAATGTGGTAATTAATAATTAATTAGTCAGTTTATTTAGCTAAAGAATTAATTAAGCATTTATACTATCTTTTCTTGTTATTGGGTGTTATCAGCTATTAGAACCATCCCATTACACAACTTATCCTCTGATTCTCCCTATCAGCTGCTCTTGCTTTCCAGTCTGAATCTCAATTTAGAGATTTTATATCTTTCTTTACCACGTTTTCACAAATTAAAAGGGTATATTCAAGAAGTCCTTTTTCCTTTTGAGTTCTTTGTCATTACTATGTGCAATAGTGGGTTTTTTTATTCTATATGAATTCACTGTAATCTCCTACTCTGGATTGTACCTAATGTTTGGTTTCTAGAAGAGTTTGTATAATTCATTGTTTTTTCTAATTCTCCATTTCTCCATTTCCTTGTAATATCCTAAAATATTATATTATCTATACAGCATTTATTTCATTGAAATTAAATACCTGAATGTGACATACCTTGCATTTTACTAATAACTTCAGTTTTAAATTTGTTATATAATCTGTATCTTATATTTTACTTTATGTTAACTGAAAAAAAACTGTATTATTATTAATATAAAAATATAATTTGCATTTTAATTATTTAAATAACAATAATAGTTTTATAAAAATAACATACATAAATAATAAATTTCAATAGTTGATTAAAAAATATAACATATTATAATTACGATAAATGAATAATGAACACCTATTACTGTAAACAAGCTGTACTTATGACAATTTGATCAGTCTGCTGTTTTTAATTTATTTCTATGTATAATTATAAAATTGTTCAAGAAATTTAAATAAATTAATGGTTAAAGTATATAACAGTTAAATCACCAAAATGGATACATTTTTAATAAAAATATAAAAATATATAAACAATTATAAAATAATACTATCTAATATAATATGCAATATTAGGTGGCAGTGATTTTCAAGCTGCAACATCAAAGAATCTGTCTAACATAGCAGAAACTTGAGCTGGAGTATACTTGACATATTTCTCTGGGTTCTTAGTAAACGACGTCTGCGAAAATCTAAAAACAAGTTTTATTGATTTATAATTCAAAATAGAAATATTGCATTAAGTCTTATATTACTTGTCATAGAAAGCACTATATTTTGGTAAAATGAATTCTTTATTATCACGTTTCAAACCTTCGCGTAATTCTACATCAGGAATTGTGTAGCCTCTTTGAAGTTTTAATATTTCTTCTATTTCTTTGTTAAAACCCTACAAAATTTATTAAGAAACAGATTTTAGTGCCTACATCAGTATTGAATATCATATTAATAATTTATTACGATAAAATATCATATTGTGTAGTAATATTTTTCAAATATTGAGATGTTATTTTTAAAAACTTTAAGTAAACAAAATATTTTCCAACAAGCACAAACTTACAGAAAATCGTTCTTTAATTATGTTACGATCCTTATCCTTGAGTTTGCCATGTATAACTAGAACATCCTCAAAATTAGTTATGAAACCTAATATTCTATTCCAGCTAAAATCATAGACACAGTTTAAATTTAAATGTGCGATAACATAAAATTTAAAAAGATACGAGTAATTCAATTATAACAACATAAATACCATTGTTGATATGATTTTTTGTGTAAAGCAATCATCTCATGATAGGTATTTTCACATTCTGGATCGGTCAAAGAAACTATATCTAATAAAGCTGATCGTTGTAATGACTTCACTACATAGTGACAATTGTTTAACCTAAACAAATATTTGACACCAGGTTCACTGTACGAGTCACTTCTATTTACAAGCATCAAATTCAGTTGAGATAATACTTTCTCTGTAAACAAATTAAAATAATTTTAGAAATAGATAGTTTATTATGAACATGCTTATATTAGTTTCTTACTGATATAAATTCCCAAAAGATATTTGTATCTTTCTGGTGTTGTGATATGATGCGCTACCATATTGCTATACAATGGCACTTGAGCTAATAGAGGACCTACACTATCTATATAATCGAGAAGTTGTTCCATCAACACAAGCACATCACTAGTCAATTGATAAACTGTACCATCTCTCGGTAAACCCATAGAATTGTCAGTTCTGACACTTTCGATTATTTCATCTAAAGTTCGTGTACCCTGAATAGGAGAAAAATAATAATGTTTAATTGTCAAATAAAATAATAGTACTAAATTTCCTAACTGTTGAATGAAGTGTATTAAGAATCATTGAATATTGACCCCTGACAGTGGGATCACAGCCTTCCATTGTGCGTTCAAAATCAGATTTCATGGCGGCCAAATGTTTTAAAATGGGAAACATAACAAACAAATTGGCAAATTCTTTTCTATGTATACACCTTTTAGCTCTAGTTGCAATATTCTGCAATCAAAAGATAGTTATTTAATATATATTTATTATTTTATCAATAAATAATTTTATATAAAAAACAAAATAAATCATAAAACTATGTGTTTCTGAAGTATATAAATACAAAAATTAAGAATACCTCTCCTTCATGAACAATATTAGAAAGACTTTCTTGAATAATTATTTGAAAAACTTGATGGTGATGTTTTATCGGTATTATACCAACCATCAAAGACAATTCTGCTTGCATGAGTTTCTGAAGAGCAATTACCGATATCAGATAGTTTTCCATTTCTTGTTCATCAACAATATCTTCACGGTTTTCTGTGAATTTTATGTATGTGTGTTAATAGATTATTTATGTTTAGTACCAAATTTGACAAACAAACAAAATTGTGAGATAATCATTACCTACCTATAAGTGTAGGTCTTCTATTCCCCAAATTCAAACCGGTTGACTGGCCTATAGTTTGAGATGCTTTCATTAACATTCGGTTGGCTTTTTTTTCGAATCTGAAATAGTAAATATTTAATGTTATTTATTAGAACATTAATAAGTCTATAATGACATTTATACACGAAGAAACTTACACGTGCTGTATACGTTTGGAAGCTTTTCTAGTAACAGTTACATCAGATCTATGAGGAAATTTGGACTTCTAGAGCAAAGAAAAAAAATACGTTTTTAAATGCATCATTACCCTAACCAACATAATTGATTTTTAAACATACCACTGAAGGTGAATTTAAAGTCTGTCCCATAACCATATTAGTACTTCCTGCACTTCCAGTTTTCTGGTATTCTTTAAGAGAAGTCATTGACTTAGTAAGAGTGTTTGCTCGTACTCTAGCGTACATATTCATGTATTCATCACGAGATTGACTGATTAACCAATCAGCTAAGCGAATGAGATCCGTAGAAACAGTGTCCGAAAAATGACTAATAGAACTCACAGATGAGGAATCATCGGTAATCAACTCTACACAATCATGATAAAAATTGAATTAACATGAACAAAACATGTTAAAAATTATTGTAACTAACCATCATCATTTGTAGCTAAGTCGAGCAAAATGGCAGGTTGAACGTGTCTACTATGTTTTAAAAGAATTTCTTTAAATTCCCTTTGAATACTGTCTCCTCCAGTTTTAAACAGTGATGACTGTAATTAATAAAATAAAACAGTTTTTTTTTAAAATATCATTTGTATATTATTATTTATTATACAAACATACGAGGGCTAATCAAAAAGTATCAAGATTGGTAGTATCATTCAGAAAAGGAGCATCGAAGAGCAGTAGGATTGGTATCACTTGCTTCTATAACTTTTTCTGAGTATCTTTGTTTTTATTGCTTCTCTATAAAATTCTTTGGTTTGATTTCACTGATATTTTTGTAAAATATATTTTTCGAGTTTGGCGATTTTGTAATAAACCCAAAAGAGGAGTAACTTGACAGATTTGGAGATTTTAGAAAAGTTGTCTGGTATTTTTTTCCAGTTTCAGAGGGATGCAAAATTTCATGGTTTTTGCCATTAAATGTCAATTGAAAAACTGAAAATGACAAATTTTAGAAAAATATTGTCAAATCAAAACGAAGAAGTTTATAGAGATTTTATATGAATAGATGTGCTCAGTATGAGTCATAGAACCTAGGTTTACAAATCATTTTGCTCTTCAACGCTCGGTTTCCGAGCAATATTATCAGTCTCAATACTTTTTGATTAGCCCTCGTATATATCTTACTGTAAAAAAGCCCCTGAATATTTAAAGATACTCAAATTAATTTTTTAATAAACATAGATTATCTTTTATACTTAATGCAAAGACCATTTTACATACCACATTTTCAAGTTCAACACTCTGAGGATTGTTTTTTTCAAAATATTTCTGAGCTTCCTGTAGTCTTTCCATAGCATCCAAAAACTCATTCAAACTGTCTGACCCATTTGGCCTACCTAATATAATGGATTCAACTCTTGGACAAACATCATGGAACATAATTACTTTATCCAATTCCACCATTGTCTTTTCTATATCTAAAATTTATAAAAAAAAAAAAAAACGTTTATTATCTATCAAGCACAATCAAATAAAACCAGGTAGAATACTTGTTTTTTTCAGTTGTAAATTTTCCATTTCATTATAAATTGGAAGAATAGTTTGTTGGAGTCTACCAAGTCTACTTTCGAATGATGTTAAAATATCAACCATTTTCTCAGACAGTTGGCTATTCCGCTGCACTTGTTCTTTAAGTGCATCTAAATTCTGACGTTCCTAATAAATTGTATAAAATATTTAACTATTTGTGGTATATGCACACAATTTGTGTTGACTTTAAAAATAATAATAAATAATTGGACAATATTATACATTTTTAATTAGGTAGATAATATTATTTTTATGAAATTCAATATCAGATACATGACAAAAGTAGTAAAATCAGTAACTAGGTATTAACAAGTATTGTTTATTAGTTTTGTAAGACAATTTTAACAAGTAATATGGCTCTAAGAATAACAAAAGCCATGCTACAGAATTATATTTTGGATAATTTCTCAATTGAAAAATATAACATGAATACCTTTTCTAACTTTCCAGTAGTGTCCATATTTTTTATTTAATATTTATAAAACTCACATAATTTTAAGAAAAGTAAAAAATAAACAAATACACAAATTCTCACAATATTTTAACTTACGGTTTATGATAACAGTTATCTCAATATTATCTATTATCAAATCAAAGTAAACAGCTGACTAACTTTGAACTAGTGACCAACACTGAGAATTGTTACTATTAAATGTCTGTACTCGGTAGTGGTGGGCATGACTTATTGAATAATTTTATTTGACTATTGACATCGACTACATTCGATAGTTTTACTTAAACTTACGAATAATTTCATGGCTAAATACTTATAGTATTAACCATTGAAAACGTATACCATGGTCTTTTACCGAACTATCGAAGAAAGTAAAAATTATTTCGGCTTTTTTTCTCCTAACATGCCTATTACATACCTGGTTTATTATCATGACTAAACCGTTCAAATGAACCATAGAAATATTAATCAGTTAGTTAATATGTCTATGGAGTGAACCGATTTATAATTTAAGTTATCGAATAACGTGATGATAGAGTTCGACACTTTATTTGTGCCCATCACTAAAAACGTTGGATAGGTAATACGTTTTCTTGTTATTATTTTTCTTTTAAATAGTTGTGATCAGAATATCAGATTGGATATTCAGATATTTTTTAATACTTGAGTTTTAATCTCATTTACAGGCTTACAGCCCATATACATTCTTGGACTGTTAGGGTAGTGGTAATCAAAAAAAAAAAATCGGGCGAATTTAATTATATAATAATATATATATTAAATGGGCGAACCCAGTACCAGTTATAATTATAGACATACGTCTAGAATGTACAATAATATTTTATTGTTACAATTTTGTTTATCTTAAACATAATGCAGAAAGTACAAATATTAAAACAACTGGTAAATAGATAGGTTTAAGTATAATATGTGATGTGAACATTTATAATCGGAATAATTCATTAAAAGAAAATTATTAAATATACATAAATATAACAATGAAAACGTAGACTAATAAGACATTGGCATAGAATGTAACATTTATTCGGCCAAAATAATATTTAGGTAATAATTAAAATCAGTTATTGAGACATAAGAAAACGGATCAAAATTTAAATGGTTGGCGAGTCGCGTTAATCGATTTGTAGGGGAATTTTGACCATAGTTAGAACGCTGGAGTGACACATAAAAAGTATTTAACTGTTAAATTCTACGATTTAGAATATTAAAGTTCAGTAATGAAAGCAATTCCCGGCAATTAATATCCCCAATCGTTAATTTGAAAATAAAACATAAATAATCTAATCGTTTTCTCTTATTATCAAGCGTTTTTAACATTAATATCGGTTGATATGATAAGTGAGGCGTACGTTCGATTCTACATCCGAATTGTATAATTCGTATAAAACAGTTTTCAATTGAATCAATAGCTTTTGAAAAACCAATTGTGGCGACCACACGGCACACAGCAGATCCATGGTCGAGTAATAATCTATCAAAGGAACAGTAGATAGGTATAGATAGTGATTTTAACAATAAAGGATTGTTAAAGTCTTTACAGCTACGATTTATGAATCCTAACATTGAATAGGCTTTATTCTGGATATAAATATAATGATCATTATAAATGAAATTGATGAATCAAAATAAGTTTCCAAATTCTTGTAAAGAAAAACTCGATCTAATATGGTATTATTAAGATAATAATTAATTGTGTCAGATTGGATTATGAATCTCAAAAAAGGTCATATATTTCTTAATATTTACGTATAAATTATTTAGATTACACCAAGTACTGAGACGATGTAGATCTTCCTGAAGCAACAAATTATCTCTTGGAGATGTAATAGTATGATCAATTTTCATATCATCTGTATAAAATTACTTATTAAAGTTAATAAATTCAATATCATTAATTAATTAATTAAATAGTAAAAAAGCTAAATATGATCCTTGAGGAACACCAGAGTTCGTTTTAAATAATGAATTAAAATTTTTACGCTTTTCATATTGCTGCCTGCCAGATATAAAAAAATCTAACCAGAGTGAAAAGGGTCACATATACCAAGATTAAATAGCTTTGAACTAAGTACAATATGATCAACTTTAGCAAACGCTTTGGAGAAATTTGTAAATATGATATCAACCTGAAAGCTTGTAGGACGCTATTTTGGAATAGGTACCTACTATAGTAGGTTCGTGGTGGTTGATTTACTCGGCATAAAGCCATGTTGAGCATCAATGTATTTAAATAAAGGAAACATTTTTTCGTGTACAATACTTTCAAATATTTTAGGAATAATGGAAGTTATAGAAAGTTATAGACTAGTATTACCTCTTTTAGGAATTGAGGTTAGGTTAAGGCAACTTTCTTTTTATCTAGGAAAACTCCAGACATGAGTGACATGTTGAATAAATAAAATAAAGGGATAGGCAAGACAAATTTACAGTTAGTAAAGAAAACATTTGGAATAATATCAGGACAAGTAGTAGACTTTAATCAGTTTAACTCATTGTAAATATTATTTACTTAGCGTAATTACACAGATATTCAGATAGGTTTTTATTGACTTACTATCAACGGATATTTTGGGCATACAATTTAGGTTTTGATAAATAGTAGTGTAATAATTGGCAAAACAATCCAAGACTTTATCAACCCCAGGCCCCAGTGATAGTTTGGTTATGAGATAACAGACGGAATAATAGAATTTGAACGTTTGCTATTAATGCATTTCCAAAATCTTTTAGGATTAGAAACAATCGAACTTTGCGTACTCTGTATAAAATTTCTATAATCGGTTTCATTCACAACTTTACATTGAACACGAAGATTAGAGAATCGATTATAGTTTATGTTTGTAGTAGATTGTTTATAAGTATGTTTTATGAGAAATTTTTTTTGAAAAAAACTGTTTTAGAATACGGGAAAACTACAAGGGATATTTTGATGAGAATATGTTTTTGTAACATTATATATTAATAATATCAAATCATTTGGTATAGAAAATATCAACTTCTTCATTAATATATAAATCTTTAAATGTGTAATTCCAATCAGTCGAGGCAATACAAGTCACTATCATCAGATCACTATAATCACAATAGTTACTAAAGACACGGACAATCTCATTATAAAGCAAATTATTTACAGATGATAAAGGATTATTTACAGATGATAAAGATGACAATTTATAATGCAGGATGATATTTATAGTCCAATGGAACAAGTGGAGATGTTCAAGTATTGAACAGAGAATTATGTATTAGGTTATATTACATTAAATTAACATCTTATTAAATTAATATTTCATTTAATGAATCACACTTTAGTGGAAATAGGTTGTGCATAAATAAAATATATCAAAAAATAAGTGCTTTTTATTTAATAACTAAAAATATGAAATTATCATGGTTTTACAAAATATCAGACTTAAAAATTAATGTTTGATTCAAAAAAAAAGTTTACTTAATTAAACACATAAAACATCATAGAAAAAAAATTGAACATGTTTATAAATATGATTAATTTTGACCTTCCAAATATGAATTAATACATTTGTGATGGTAATAGTCTTCTATACAATTAATTACAATACCTCAACAATAAATACACAATATTAATTGTATACAAGAATATTACAATGTCACAATAAAAGTTCACTTAAGTTTTACATTTTCCTTGCCTTTGAATGAAATAATTGACCGTTTTGGTATTGGCAGGCTCTATAGACAGTATTTTTAGTTATAATCAATAATTAGCAAATAATAATTGTATATTAAAAATATTAAATAAAATAACATATTACATGTATGTACAAATATGTGATAAACTTACACTCATTCTATTTGTTTTCAGTGCCAATGGTTTTGGTATCTTCCCAATTATACTTTCAGACTAAAATTAGTATAATATATTATTTACGATCAATATAAAAACTATAAATAATCTTACTTTAGATTTATTTGACTGAAAAGATTTTATAATTTCATTCTTCTTTTTAACAGATTCATTGAACATATCAATTGTAGTCTAAAATACAAAGTACGTGTATTAATATGAGTAATTGATTTCTCCTTTAGTATACTTACATTAGAACGTTTATTTGCTGTATTGAACAAACGTGTACCATTTGATAGTGTAATTATATTATCTTTGTTACACAACTAAATAACAAACAAGAAAAGTTATAAGAAACATTTTTTTTTTTTTTTTTATTAGAAATTAAATTTAACAGGCTTACATTAGTTAAGTTCTGTTTAATACATTTTGTGACATTCAATGGTGTTTTTGGACTTCCAACAGCATTGGCCACTGATTGTTGAGAACTATTTAAAAAAAAAAAAAATTAAATTAAACTACATATTTTAACACAAAATAAGATGGGCGTTGATAGTTGTATTTTAGTTTTAATTCTTCCACGAGTAAATAAATGTATTAACCAAGTAATTCATTTTTTTTTCAAAAACATATTCGGAAATAGTTAGCAAGCTAAGAATAAATTATTATCAAATACTTTGTCAATAATTGTGTAATATTAAAGAATGTTATGTTGCATATTTCGTGTTCATCAATTCAACATCAAATTAAAATAATAAGTAATACAATATTTGTTTGGATTTAATTGAACTTTAGAATTTTATTTGTGAATTGTTTAAATATTTAAGGTTTTTTTGTGCATCGAAGAACTTACCAAGCTGTTATAGAACACTCCTCTGATGAAGGAGTTTGAAGTGTACTAGTAACATTTAATGTTGGCGTAGAAGAGGCAACAGGTTTTATCTAAAGACAAAACAGATAGCATTAGATAATTTTAAATACAAAACTTATGAAGTATAAAGTTTGAAGAGTTATTTTAATTAAAACATATTTGAAATATAAATTTACTTGATCATGAGAATTGATTGATGTACTACTACACATATTTTTTATTTTCACATCATCATAATTTTGCACCATATGATGGACAGGAACAGTTGCTAAAATAGGACCTACATTTTTTTTATCCTGGATTGATTTTAAAGCCTGACATCCAATTAGTTTTGATTCAATAGTTCCTAAAATAATAAAGAAAATAATATCTAAATTATAGATTTAATAAATATGTTAATTTTTGTTTTTAATAACATTGTCATTAATGATATAATTTTATTTTTAGGTAATAGTAAAAATAATATATTCAAATTTTTATTACCAATATGATTAAGAGTTTTCAACTTCTCATCAATTTGATTGTTGCTGTTAATAATTTCAACCACCGATTCAGATTTTTCCTTAAAATATGCATTTATAAAATTAATTAAAATAAATAAATAGTTATTTATGTGGTCTTACAGTTTGAACTTCTACAGATCCATCAGTATCACTGAAATTATCCATCACCCATTCTGGTTTTAAAGCATTTAAATCAAAAGAATTTTGTTCTTGATTTAAATACAATAAACTATCATTATTCAATGTGTTATTATCATTGATATCAGTAGTATTATTCTAAATAATGACACAAAATAAAATTCTTGTAGTACACAGCAAAAATTGAATATTTTAATACAATGTTTAATTTCCACGAAGAAAATAAAATTATAAATTTAGTTATAATTACTTACGGTTATTTTACTAAAGGTATCCGAAATACTATTAGAACGATTCTGTATAAATCCATTATTAATTAAATTTTCAGTAATGTTCAAATTTGACTCAGTGCGGTTCTGTAACATATAAAATAATGACTTTTGTGTACAATTTTCTTCATAATGTTTTTTTCCTCTTTCAATAAGCATCTTAATTCGTTGTTGTGTTTTTTCTCTAATCTTCTGTTTTTCTTCTTCATTACATAATGCCATTTTTTCTATATAAACATTATAATATTCTGACGTTGATGTTGATATAGAATCATTCTTTAATTCTTCACTATCATCCATATTTATTGAAACATAACTTTGATTTTCTATGAGATATTCATCCTTGTTTACTGTACTACAATTTGTGTTTATTTTGTTACCATTAACATTTAAAGATTCTATGTTTCCTGTATGATTTTGACCATTCAGTTGTAAATTTGCCGCAACACTGTCAATATCTGTTAATGACATACTCTTCCTTATCTGCCCAATTTCCAACTTCCACGAAGTTGTCAATAAGTTACTACATGACATATTATTATCTTCTCTTAATGTCGTTTGATTAGAAACTAAATCAAAAGGATCCATATTAGCTGCTTTTAGCTCCATTGCATCAAACGGGTTATTATAATAATCTCCTCCATGAGTTGTATTTATTACTATTTCAGGAGTACCCCAATCAATTAGTTCTTCAGACGAACATTCAACTGTTTCATTAACATCAAATGAATTCATAATTCTAAAAAGGGGAAAAAAGAAAATTATAATTATTTATTTATTTATTTTATTTAACACCAATCGGTAATAGAAAAATAACATACAATTAAAAAACAAATTAATGAACGGCATTAAATATGAAGCCGATAGATTACAAAGTTATCCGATGGACAGGATTAAACCTATATAAATTCCATTTTATTCAAATTGAAAAATACTTAGCTATTGTACTAGGTAAATTATATTTTATGAAATAAAGTTAATGTTATTTAACAGGGTGTCACATTTTTAAATTCAAAATACTTTAAAACAAAATGTATAATTAATAAGAATATTTTTCATTCAAATTTTGTTTTCTTTTTAAAAAAAATCTAAAAAATCTCTTGACTTTTGGGATTAAACAGAAGAGTCTAAAAATCAAAAAAACTTTACATTTACTTTAAATAAGGAATGTGTAGTCAGATAATTAATTTTGTTTTTTTCCGAATATCTCTTGTCTTAGAACTGAGAAAAAACTTAAAAACCAAAAAAATGGTAGAGGATTTTAGTTAAAAAAGACACTCTTAAAAACTTCTATTAGATAAAATGTTGATTTTCTCGTTTATTGCCCAAAAAATTATAATATTTTATCATTGCCAAGACTCAAAAATTACTCTTACTTTCCCACATAAAATATTAGCCTGCGCCTGTATTTTCCGAAATAACAAATACTGAACAACATAGTAGCTGTGTTTCTATGCACATTATTTTATGGTTACATGGAAATGAAATTTAACAGTCAACATTTACCAAATATTAACTTGGAAATTATGATATTCTGCCGTCAGTGTACAATTTTTTTATGGCAATTTCTTTTTTAAATTCGGTTCATTATGACTGTAACCATATTTACAGAATGTGTTTATACATCACAATATATTATACATAAACATATAATCACACAATAGCATAATTTTGTGATTTCTAAAAAATTGAAACTTTTTCAAAATAAATTAAAATTAGAACCCGTGTCTAACTACTAACACAATACACATATTAAAGAATATTAAAATCAACAAAATAAATACACATACCGAGAAAATGCAACATAAATATCTAAATATACTCAATATTAATAAAATAATAAAAAAAAAAAAATTAAATATTATACAAACCTTAAATATCAAACAATAAACTTAAAAATTAAAAAATTCTTCAATTAAATATGAAGAAGTAACTTCTACACACTCATAATATAGTTTTATATTAATGAGCTAACGTAAAACTGTTGATGTTTTTATTTAATAAAATAAAAATAAGTGGGTAAAAATTTAAATTTCAAATCAAAATAACGTTTCCACAGTACTTTGACACAAATGATAGAGATAATCATAATTGGCAATTGGCATAGATGATAGATAACAATAATTATAGCACAGCCCTCTAGTAGACAAAAAGTAAACGTCATTGGTTGAAAAATAATTTTATCAGGTCTGCGCAACAGCTGATTAAAAAAAACCAAATAATTTTTGATAAGAAAATTTTGTTAAACTAGTGATCATAGGTGAGATACTGTTCTGCATTTTAAATTTTAATTTTCACCTCTATTATTCAAACACTTGCTCGGAATTTAAACTCTCAGAGTCCATCAATTATACGATTCAAAATGTTATCATTAAACAAAATTGCTAAATGTCTCGTAAGTATTGATTTATGATAGTCTAGAACAAAAAAATTGTAATTCTCTAATTTTTATTTCATTATTGTTATAGTTGTCAAATTCAAGAACTTTTCAGACCTCAGCTGCAGTAAAACACGATGCATTGTACAATGTAAGTAATACCTACCTTCAAACGTTTTTTGTGAAGCCTTGTCTGTACATTACTTTTCAGTCTTTTTGACTAATCCAGATAAAAACAAAACTTAATGACAAGAGCATCAGATTACACTACCTAATGAGTTATAATAACTATAAATATTACATACCTATTTGTTTTTCAGGTTAATAAAATGTTGATTTTAGTTATAAAAATGTTTTAGTCTGATAATAGACAATTTTATTGTACTGAACACATAATGTAAAAAGTACTCTTTGGTTTAATAAGGTACCTAATACCACATATTTTTATGAGTAAAAAAAAAAATGGAAAAGTGTATATTTCATAAATAATGCCTACTTTTTACCTAGTTACATTATTTTTCTGTAGTAAAAACCTATTTTAGATTTGGATAAAATTTAAATAAATTAATATGTACGCCTCTTTTATTTATTGCATTTTTCATAATATTGATGTAAATCTTCGATGGTTTCTTTATAAATTATATTTATTTATAAGAGGAGCATAGTATATTTTTTATATTTATTTCAATTTTCAGCACAGAGATACTAAAGAAGATAACCTTGATATCAAGTTTAAATTCACCGATGACAACAAAAAAGTAATATTACTTTTATTTTCATTCAATGTAGTAATAAATTTATTCATATTTATGTAATATTCTGGATTTTTGCTATAGAGAATTGATGCGATATTGGCTATATATCCAGAAGGTCACAAACGAGCGGCTATGATCCCACTTTTGGATTTGGCCCAGAGGCAGCACGGCTGGTTACCTATTTCCGCTATGCACGCAGTAGCTGACATATTAAATTTACCAAAAATGAGAGTTTACGAAGTCGCCACTTTCTACACAATGTTTATGCGAAAGCCGACTGGCAAGTATCATGTTCAGGTGTGTACTACGACTCCTTGCTGGTTGCGAGGTTCCGATGATGTATTGTCATGTCTGAAGAAAAAACTTAACATTGGCGTGGGTGAAACCAGTAAAGATGGCCAGTGGACATTATCTGAAGTAGAATGTCTTGGTGCGTGTGTCAATGCTCCAATGGTACAGATCAATGACGATTACTATGTAAGTGAATAAGTGATTATACTATGTGAGTTTTTTTTTCCTTAAATGCTAGTTACTTATTTTGAACAACCCAAACCAATTCTTCCAATTCTCAAATTGTTAATCTTAAATATTAGTGTAGAAATATATTTTATTAATAACTATTTAGTATTCAAGATACTTCAAAACCGTTTAAAAGTCTAATAATATATTATAAAATACTTATAGGAAGATTTGTCTACCAAAGATATGGAATCCATTGTTGATGACCTAAAGAATGGAAAAACTCCTACTCCAGGACCCAGGTGAAACACTCTCAATAAGCAATGTTTATAAAAATCATTAACATGCAATTTTTTAATTAATATATAGATCCACTCGATATGCTTCAGAGCCGATCAACGGATTAACATCGTTGAAAGAAGAACCCTATGGCCCTGGATTCCAAGTGAGACCTGATTTATAAACACTATAGGATACCTTCGTCGTTTAAACTTGTCGTGTTGAATAAGTAATCATTAGTGTTTTTTCCTTTATATGTTATATAATTTAAACAAAATAAAACAATATACCCATCATTGTATAATTATTAAATGAAATTACTTAAGATACAGCACTAAAATTAAAGATCATTTGTTTTGTATATTTTTCTGGTTTATTAATTTAAAAAAAATAATAATAATCAACAAATTAATATTCAAAAATAAAATAAATATAAAAGAAGAAACTTTACCTGGAATATTATTGATAGTTATATTACCCAATGGTGATACAATAGGTCTATTTTCTTCTGATATATTTATTTTTTATATGTTTATATTTAATTATTTAATTTAATTTTTAAACACATGACATCATGAGCCTTTAAATTGTGATTATATTTGAACCGCCGGTGACATTTGTGACACTCGTACAACAAGTCTAGACCGCACACTTTGCTTCTGTGGTGGACAAGGGATGAGCAATCGTCGAATGTGTCCAAACAGTCTGGACATGTGTGCCTTTCGTCCAACCTGAGCTTCATGAACAATTTTTCATCCAGATCGTCTGATATGCCTAAACGATTGTAACAACAGTTTATATCATAAATTTCAGTGAATATATTAAAATAGTCCTAGCAAATAGTAGTGTTATAACTTTAAAAGCAATACAGATTTTTTTAAACAGTAATATGATAGGTACCTTAAGAAATAAATGATATAAGGTATAATAGTGTGTTCTTTTATTTTTTTATTGTTTTTACCAAACATATTGGTGTAATTGATTATTACATCAGGAAGAACTTAACAATATCAAAAAGAACATTTTGTTTTCAGTAAAACACAATTTAATTAATAATCATAAAATTAATCTAAATATGTATCACAAAATATCAAAACAATAATCATCAAAGCTGGGCAGTAACTTTTTTGATAACTTTAATTTAACTGGTTGAAAAAAATTAGAATGTAAGAAACTAAGTTAGTTGTTATTTAGTAATTATTTACTAATTTGTTTGGAATAAGAAAACGCTACATATATTTTGAATTTATTTTTTGATGAACAATTTTTTATATGAATATTATTATTAAATAATAAGACAAGCATAGTACCTATGCAGGTATATGACTTACTCATACTAGTCTTGTATAGTAAGTTTATAAAAGTTTAAGTATTAAATTAAAAACAAATTTTTATGAGTGTAATAAAGTGTAATTTTTAAAAAATAATTATTTTTTTCAAAATGTAAAACTTAACTTAGTTACTCAAATTCATTTAAACTTTAAAATCAATTTTTTTTAAGATAATTAAATGTTAACAAGTAAAAAAATTAGTTAACTTGCCCAGCTAACTAAAGATGTACACTACAAAAATCACAAATAATAATATAATATTTTTATGAGAGCGAATGGCACACAAGACAATAATAATATATTATGCTATTGTTGTTGACTAGAGCACATATTATTATAGGTAATACTATATTTATATACAGGGTGTATTTGAATTTGAGAAACACTATCATAAGGTCACATCAGTTGCATCATCTGGGGAAATGGACGTAATCTAGTATTTGCACCAGTATAAATTAGTCTCAAGTCGATATATTGGTTGATCCCAGACTTTGGATAGTCTGAAAATATTACGTCAAAATAACGTACACAATCACATATATCTTACTTTCATACGCCCTCTAAGTTATCTACAGTCAAATTTTAGATTTTCTTAACTTCACAATGGTGTTTTTAAAATCAAATTTACAATTTGAATGCCATAAAAATATATAGGTATGTGATCATTTCTTTGTAAGTTTGAAATTTTTAATACCTATTAAATGAAGGGCATTTCCAGAATTAATATATCCTTTTTTCATCAGTCGGCAAATTTAGTAGACCCCAGTCTACCAGATATTGTATGCCATCCCAGTAAAATTCCCATCCAATGTGTCACAACGCCATAAAAAATTTACTGTTCGGGAACACAGTTATTATATTGATTTCAAATACACCCTGTATAATATTCGCACCACGGTGGTCTCCCGTCACCACCGAGGCGCGGCTGCGGCGGACGATGATCACTTGTGGTGTGTCTTCATGTGCAGCAGCAGGTTGTGCTTGTGTTTAGACTTTTTGTGGCACACGGGACACTCGAATTTGGGGTCGACGCCGCACTCGAACCGGACGTGCCTGGACAGGCTGTGTAGCCGGGCGTACGTTTTGATGCACCGGGTGCATTTGTACAAAGTCGGTTGTCGTTGCGGACGATAAAACCCGTCGACCGTCGTCGACTGCAGTTGTTGTGCCGTGAGCCCGCCACCGCGGAGGATTCGGTCACCTGTATAGAGACGGCGGGAAAAACAATACAGAAAAAGCAAAAAAAAAAAAAAAAACAACAACCAATTAGTACGGCCGGACGCCGTATTATTTGTGTTTCAGGGCCAGCGTATTAGGTACTCATACAGTTCAACGCACATGCACGCTAACTATTTTTTTTATGTTTTTTTTTTTTTTTTTAAAAACGCAATAACGACACACAACAAATCGCGGGGGTAAAATAAGCAACAATCGGTCTCGGGTGTGCGCGGACAGCGCCCTCCTCTCCGTTCCAATGCCGAAATTAACGGTTGGGGCCGCCAAGGGCCACGAATCCCATTTTTTTACTCTCGAAAATATCCCTGTCACCTCGGGGTCGCTGTAAAAATAAACGCGCAAGCAGGCAGAGGGCGTTTTGGGTTTCGCGTGTTATTCCTCTCATTGTTTTTTTCTCGACAATAGGCAAGGTTGAGAAAGTTTTGGATTCCCGGATACCCCTGGATTCTCACCCCCCCCCCTCTACCCCGTCATTGGTAAAACCACCCGGTCACGTCACTGGGTAAAGGTGTAGCCGCGCTGTTATTCGTCCGCCGGCCGGTCGTCGCCGTGCGGACTGCGAGCGTCGAAAACCCTCTTACGTAAAACTACGCTAATAATAATCAATAACATTGCGGATTTTCGTTCACCGACATAGCATTGTGATGTATATTTTTTCAAAATTACATTTATACACGATGCATAAACACATCGACCGCGTATTTCAGCGACACATGATGGTACACAGGAAAAAAAAAAAAAAAAAAAAAAAA